GGCAGACAGCTTCAAGCACGTACTATGTCGTACAGCCCGGTCGAACCAAGTGGGTAACCCGCTCAGGAACTCGGTATATCGTCAAGCGGCCACGGATCATGTATGATGCCTACTAGACTTACAAGCTAGGTAGGTTGCTGCGAGGTATAGAAGATGAACAGAGGAGACGCATGGCCTCTCGTTACACACCGTGCTTTGATGTATGCGCAGAAAATTAGGGGTCCCACCCAACTTCAACTTTTCAACACACGCTGCGGCACATACTAACTTGTCGAGGTTGTCTTCGTACGTTAGACGCAGGTGAATACTATGTACATGAATAAGACTGCGTACCTAATCAAATAATGCACACTTCCTACCTAGCTGATAGTCGTAGGTATACAAAACATGTGCGAACATAGTATATAGTGCTCCAAGTGTAAGTTTTCCCCATCCTCATTGTGCTACAAACCCCTTCCCGGCCACGACTCCACCAAAAACCCACCGCGTAGATGAACCACGATGGAGTCGGGCGCGGCAGCAGGACAGATTTGAGGCATTTTTTCGAGGTAAGTAATCCACCTACTATATTTCTCTATTCATCTGACTTCAGCTACGTACCAAATCCCCATTCTCGAAGCCAGAACATGACCTCGCTCGCCCCTCTTTTCACGTCATTTTTTCCCCCGCGAGCGTGTGCACTCTAGACGAGGCCGGCGGTTTTGGAATAATGGCTGTGCGCCATACCTAGGTAGGTACCTTGGATACCTGATACCTATAGCTACTGTGTGTTGATGTAGTTAGAAGAACACTATAACTAGTACCCATATATACCTAATCCAAGCTACCTGCACAGCTATATCTTCCTAGCCGCCTACTTAGGTAAGGTATGGTAAATATCTACTGTGCCCCTTTTATACCAAACACAGTGTCTACTAGACTAACCACCCAGAAACGCCTACCTACCTAGGTACCTAAACAGCGACAGGATGTTCTAATCATGAGTTAGATCATCGCCTAAGAGTTTCACTCCTTACTAAGTCAGTCAGAAGTTGAGTCTAAACGATAGACCGTTAGGCATTTTTTCTCACCACCTCGTGGATACACTAGCTTCTATCACAAGGATCAACCGCAAATCTTCTTCAGTTGAGTAACAGGTACCGTACCTTAGTTTGAGGAGATAGGTACAATACAAAAAGGTTGCCCGACCTATTGTGTAACCGACATCTCACGACGAAAAGGTACCTATCCAGTTATACAGTACAATCTGCACCCAACCCACTTCCTCTTCACGGATAAGAACAGCAGCTTATTGGCCCGGAGAACGTTGCGTGCGCACTGCCCAGGTGGGCTTCTTTTTCGGTTTCTTCTTTCTTTCTATCTTTAATTCTTTCTTCTCATCCAGACCTACACCGCCGCAAATCAGAGCCGCGAGGGGAGCCTCGTGGGGATATCAAAGCGTAGGGAGTCTCTTCTGTACGGGTCCCGCCATCCAAAAAAAAAAGTGAAAGAAAAAGGCTATACTAGGGGAAAGGGTCCGTGACTCTAAAAATCCTAATCTAACCTAATTCATTCATTCATGAATTTATGTAGGTACGGTAGGTATATATATATGTAGGTACAAAGAGCCAGCCACTAATAAGCGCCCTGGCGGCATCCAATGTCTGAAGTAATGTAACGCCCATGTGCCTATCATGATCAGACACAGCAAGACGGTCTCATGACTGCAAAGGCATAAAAAAAGTTTCAGAATAGAATAACAGGTACCTACCTAAAATAACCCCACGGAATTATACCTATCACCACTTGAAGTCCCGTGTCTCACTTCATCCCATCCCATCCCACGAGTTCTACGCATACTATCATTTACTAACCTTCGCGTCCCCCACCCTTGAAACCCAGACAGACAGACAGACAGATGAAGGTACCTACCTAAACTAAACTAAACTAAACTAAACACAAGCTAAAGGCAAGTAGTTAATCAACTGAAGTTAAAATTGAACTGTCGTATATCATCCCGAAGTCCACGCGACAGCCATGAGACCAGGAACCGCAAACGCAGCAACAGCGGGCCAAACTCGGTCTTACCCTACCTTGTCTACCTATCCGCCTACCTAGCACCTATCTGCTCTACTTTACCCTACCTCTCTAGTCTGCAGCCCTGTGACATATTATTATCTCGGGATCTTCCTCTAGGTTAAGTGCTTAGCTACCTACCTACCTACCTACCTAACCTTAGGTACCTACCTAAGCTAATCCTCCCCCTTCCCCTTCCCCTTCCCCCCGCCCCCAAAGAAATCCGGGGGAGAGACATACGCCAAGCAGCCAATCAGCCTAATTGCCAAGGCATCTCTACCTACCTCCTATGTATGTATCTATCAAGGGAACAAAAGGGGAAGGGGGGAGAGGGGATTAATTTTATTCCCGACTTGTTCTAGTCTTGTTCTATTACCTACCTGGGTAGGTACCCAGATGAAAGGAAAAGAATGATGATCATCCTATGCATATTGGACAATAATAACACTGTGTAAGCTTCTTCTTCTTCTTTTTGTTGTTGGTGGCTGAAAAAAAACCATGTTATTTCTTTATCTTGTTTCAGTCCAGTCAGTCCAATCCAGTTCAGTCTACCTACATATTACACGCGATTAGCGCCTTGACTACCTAGGTACTCTAACCTAACCTAACCTAACCTAAGCACAAATCAGGAATGCCGAAGTCGACCGCGAACAGACATCTCAGTCTTTTTTTTTTCTCGTTTTCCTTTCCTTCCCTTTCGTTTCCTTTTGACAACAGCCTCGTTATGGAAAATGCGTGTTGGCTAGCTTCGTATGAACCGCGCGCAGCCAATATTCTGCAATACCCGTTCTGCTGGTTCGCATTAGATACCTGGTAACTGGTTACTGGTAGGTTGGTATGCACCTAGCCCAGGGTAATTATTGGGTTAGGTAGTAGGAAATTTGCTGTGCCTGTGCCATCATTATGAAGTGGTAGCTAGGTTGGGTAACTACAGTACCATCAAGTACAATACCTACTATTACACTTAATACTACATATCAACTCTTCCCCCCCCCTGTCCACAAGAACCTCCTACCTTAGGTACCTACCTAGGCCCCAAAAGTCCAGCCCAGTCTGCAGAGGCCGTCGTCCAGACAAATGCAGCATACGAGTGCTCAATCTCAATCTCCTAGTTAATTATAGTACGTAGTAAGTTATTAGCGGCAGTTCAATGTAGTGCAGTGCAGTGTTAGTCAACAAATACGATGACACAATAGGCACAATGGGCATTGTCCAATAACCGTACTATGCCCCATTGTACGATACAATGCACTAAGCCTCCGGTGCCGAGGGCATCAGCGAGGATACCCCCCTACCGTGTCGTTTCGTTTTTGGAAACCCCCCCTTCAAGATTAAACCTGCCTGTCAACCAATCTGCCTCCTCCTAAGGGGGTGGTGGGTACAATTAAAAGCGGACTAGGCTAAATCCAGATTTGACCTGGCTAAACCTGGTAAAAATCATAGAGTGGAACGCTGGCCAGGTATGAAGAACGGTCTAAGACTGGGCACCCCCTCACCAACGCCGTCGATCTCGGACCCGGCAATCTGGATAAGGGAGGAGCCACTTAACCTAGTTTGGACGGGTAGTCCACTCGCTAGCCAATGGCAGGGTCAATGGCAAGTGACATCTCATACCGTACTGTAGAATATGCAGAACAAAAAAAATAAAAAAATAAAAAGTCGGACACATAAAGGCGACTTCAAAATAGAAACTCAAGTGGCTTGGATTTGTTGGAGTATTTTCGCGTACTGAATCTAGGTTGCACAACGATATGGAATAGGCGCACCCACTCCATCACCTCGTACCTCCCATCCCATCATTGCTCTCCCCTTTCCATAACTAGCATAGATTGGTCTATGTGGCTCAGCGCTTAAAGCACTATGCTACCAATCCAAAAACAACGCAACGTAGCGGAAATTCCTCTCCTACTCCCCCTAGAAGGCGACTCATCATACCATACCCTATGTCCCTAAGGTGACGAAATATCGAGAATTGACCACAGCCGATTGTGAAAAATCTCGCGGCGTGAAAATATGTGACATGTGGTATTCACGTTTCAGTCGCCCGGGCCCCTTAACACCGCGCACCCCTCTAGATATTCCGTAGCAAACGTCTTTTTTGACTGAGACCACTTCCTCCCGCCCGAATGTCTCATGCTCTCATGAAGAAAACATGAATCGTGAAGTCAAAAAATGCGTTCCGGTGGTGTACAAAGACAGAAAAAAAAAAAGAAAAAAAAAGGAACGCGACGAGGTATTCAGAGAAAATATGGAAAAGGCAGCGCGAATGATATAAACATATGCCGACGGTCCTATGGCAAGAGGCATCTAAAAAAGGAAATGAAAGTAAGAAGCCAAAAGGGTAGCTGACGACCGTTTAAGACACAGCCTTCTGTCTGATGGATAAATCTTGCACAGTAGTATTCTCTCCATACTACAAGCAATCCACGTCATTTTCAGTTCCGAGTCGAATAATTCTGTATCCGTAGAGTTGGTTCGTATCATCTACCTACCTAGTTGCGTAATGATTGGTAGGCGATAGGCTCGGAGATCCCAGGGGCGCACTTAGGGATATTCGGATGATCTATAGCTCGCATTCGGTTCCGTGACAGTGGTATGCCAACTAAGACTCGTAGGTACTGTTCGCAATGATGTGTTATCCGCCTGGCTATGTCGTACAAGTAACTCCCCTTCTTCTCCATGTAGCGTAAAAGGCACCAGGAAAACCTCTCGGTAATAAGAGATAGGTAACAAGGCTCCGTGCGGTGTTAAGTCTGAAAATATTGCTTTTCCACACAAAACAAGGGTTGGTCCACCCGGTCTAGCTTCTGTTTTGTTTTCTTTTCTTTTCTTCTTTTCTTTTTTTTCTTTTCCTTTCCCGGGGGATCAACTGTTGGCTTCCAATAAAAAAATGGCAGGCACTAATTCCCCAATTAGAGTCGGCTTTTTACTGAAACTTGTGGTTCCTATTGTTGGAACTGATTGCCTGGCCCCGGTTGGTATAAATAATGCATCGGAATTCTATTGCTGCGGTTGTCCTCTGTGTCTTCAAACAACGGATGGAAATCTGAGTGCATCGTTGACGACAGTCCTTGGCTTCCTTGAACGTTGATGGCTGCTTGATGACCTGGGAATAGCCCTTCCACGTTGTTGAGTGTGTACATGTTATGATGACTCGCCTGGCTGTACTGAGGTACGTTAGGTCCAAAGGAGAATTCGTGGCTTGCATTATCCTCTGGCAATACCATCGATTGCATTGCATTCGACTCTAGTATCATTCTCTCGTGACCGTGACCAGGAGGTGTCATCGGTTCGCCTCTTGTATGGCTAGGAATATGGGTAGGAAGAGAATAATGCATCCCCTCGTAGGCAGCGTTCTGCATCTGCCCCGGAATATTTTGAACATTGTTTTCAGGTGTGAATGCAGAGCTCGTATTTTTTCGGCATAGAATCGCTCTCTTGCTTGCTGCCGCCTTTTTCCCACCCTTACGACCCGACATTGCTCGGGCCGATGCATGGGCATTCGTCCGTGAAGAGCTTCTAGATTTTGAGTGGCGATTAGAAGTTCCCTTGCTGCGGTAGCGCGTAGTACTCTGCACGCCACCAACGGCCCATTCTTCCAGAACCCATTGTGATATCTTTTTTGCCTCTCCTGACCCATTTAGAGGGTCATCGGAACTCGCTTTTCGTTCGCGTCTGACAAATGCCTTTTTTGATGAGAATGGTTAGTTAGTTACAAACCCAGCTATTAAGTTTAAAATATCAAGAGTATTTTCATCAGTAGCAAAGATGCTCAGATAGGCTAATCGCTGCCGTAAAGTTATGCGAATAGATCATGCAAGACTTACCTGGTTCATGCTGAGATTGTGCCGAATACTGTTCTGCCACCCATTTCGCCTGTTGCCCTTGTCTGTCTTTTCTTTATCCGTATTCTCGCGGAACCACTGATAGATCTCCTGTAGCGTCATTGCGCGCGTACGTCGGCTCATGAAAGCCTGGTGGATTAATTGTGCGTAGGGGCCATCTACCTTCTCCGACTCTTGCTCGTTTTCCTCAAGTCCTTGGCCAGGCTCTTGCGAACTTTCATCCTGACTATAGGAAGTGTACGATGCTTCCATGCCTTGCTCCGCCTGGGGTGATTCACTTTGAGTGACGGCAGCTAGGTTAGACTCCAGATGACTATGAGCAGCGGATAGCATCTGGGGTTGTGACATAGCACTGGTAGTTAAGTTGGCTGAAGAACAATTGTTGCTCTCATACACAGAGGCCGCCATCTGGGAATGAAGTTGTTCCTCGTGCGGCAACTGATGGCAACTTCCCATGTTGTAAGTGGACATATTGTCCGATTCCTTGAAGAATATCTGATGTATTCTAATATGCTGGGCTTCTTGCGGCGACCAGCTCCTGGGACTAGCACTCGATGAAGGTCCCGAGCAGGACACGATAGGCTGAATACCGCGACTGCCGCTCGCAGGCGAGCCTTGATAAGAGTAATTGTCGATGTCTTCTTCACAGGTTGTAGAAGGCGGAGTAGGCCAAACACCTTGTGGTGAAGAACTTGCCGAACGAATTTGGGGATTCTGGTACGCCGGGACCGACGTGTTAATTGTCATAGGGAACAAAGCTGAGGACGAGGCTTGTTGTTGGGCCTGGTGGCCCACTTCAGTAACCTGTGCAGCTGGGGAGGGAATAAAGTAAGAGTCTACGCTGGGAAGATCCGTCGAGTTGCCCGTTGATTGTGTTGCGCAGTTTCGTCTTTGGTTAGTCGCTTCGTTGCAAGAGGGTAAATAGTTGACGGGCAAGCCGTCAGGATACCTTTGCTGCATTCCGGCAAGTCCAAGACGTTGTCGACTAAAGGAGTCAGACTTGGCTCACGTCGCAGCGATAACCAACGAAAGCGAGTAAACAAAATCAAATCAGAAGGCCTAATCAATGCGAAGAGGCGTCGAGCGTGTGTATGTTTTCCTAGAGGAATACAAGTTTGAGTATAGAATACTTAAAGAAGATGGCGAGGTGGAGGTAAGAAAGGGATGTCTAGGTGTATATGTAGGAGATGAAAGAGGTGCGTAAGTAGGTAGATATGTATGCAAGTTAGGCACCTTGAGAGGGAGGTAAGTAGGTAAGGTAAGATAAGTATGCGTGTAGGCGAGTCCCAAGGTTGAAGTTGAGTCTTTTTTGTCTTTTTATCTTCTTGTTATGCGGACGAGTTGGAAGAAGTATGTATGGGAGTATGTATGGAGCATGAAGACTTTGTGCAAGATGGATGGGCACTCGCAAGTCAATGTACCTAAGACCTAGGGTACGTATATTCGTACATGTATTCCAAGGTTGAGTTCCAATGGAAATACCTAGAGGTACAGTATGAAGATAAGTACATGTACGTAAAGAAGGTACGGTAAGGTAAGGTAGCTAGCTACCTAGGTACTATGTGGAAAGGAAGGTGTTCCAAGGTCCCGGGGGGTGGGAATCGTTAGGTACCTCTCTACCTACCTAACCTAACCTAACCTAAGGTGTAGGAGGTACTCCCATCAACATGAGATTAAGAATACCTACGGCCTGCATGTACTAAATAGCGGACCCATCTACATCCCAGTAGCTACCTACATATCATACAGATAATCTAGTAGACCCCAGACCGGTGGCACCTGCCCAGGTGCTGGTTACCTTAGGACATGTACTCTGGTACCTATGCAAGTTGGTACATGCATCCGAAGGCAGGTAGAGAGGAGGTATGTAGAGAGGAGGTACCGGTAGATGAGGTAGAGATGATCTGGATGGCCCTTGCCCTTGGGGGTCCTTTCTAATCTAAGGAAAAGGAGGTACGTACCTAATACTAGCTCTTCAACAACCTTGGAAAGAAGAGATGAGAGCTCACAAGGTGCTTAGCCCAAAGTTGAGCTGGCCAATCTGAGAATACAAAAAATACAAGTGACGTGGGTGGGTGTAAACTGTCCAGGTGCTGTCTATCTTGCCAGTTGAGCAGGTGGTAAAAATAATTTTCTGCAGAAAAATTCTTTGGAGCTAGAACCAGCTGGGTATTCGACCAAAATATGGGCGTATACCACGATGGGGCGCCGGTCAAGACTCTTTGCACTTCCACAACACAAGGCTAATTAATTGTGGACGGGACGATGATGATAATGATTACCTAGGTTAGGTAGGTATCGAAGATGTTCTTGACTGATCATGGAGGGAAAAAAAAAAGTAAGCTTGCTAACGCACCCGCTGTTCTCGTCGCCCGTAAAGCTCCCTCTCCGTCTTTTCTAGAGATCTCTCTGATTGGTGTTGTTTATTGTTATTTTTACTATTTTTTTATTCGTTCTTGAGTTATTATTGTTAGCTACTCTTCTCCCCTCTTGACATTCCTTCCATTCGGCAAGGCTTAACTTGATCAGAGATGTCAAAATCTTTGTGTCATGTAAGTGCTCTCGGTATGTATCCCAATTATTTACCAATTATTTGAGGTAGAGGTATTGTACAGTCGCGTGTTTTTGTGTATTATATAGCCTGTACCCGTATCTGTCTGCGTCAGCACTTCCATGTGTGTGCATACCTAAACTATGTATGCTAGTGTGCTTCCTGTACATATAGCTACATACATTTGCATGCATGCGGTGTTTCTCCTTGTGCAAACGGAATTGTGTTTCGTGTGTCTAAGGTAGACGTTGCCCAGGGCGTGGCTATCGGGCAATTTGTTGCGCGTCAGGGGAATTGGCCAGTTAGACAAGATATGACAGCGTCGGAGAAAGTCTTGTCTTATGACTCTATAGTAACTAATTCAACAACGTAAAATGGAACTTGAATTAATACAATAATACTACGAAAAAATATAGGAAGACGGAAAAAGAAAAAGAACACCCTACCTTAACCCGTTAATCCACTTCTCAACAATAGCATTGTATAAGTGGCAACGCAAGCCCGCCGCCCATCAAAGCACTGTGCGCGGTATAGCAGCGGAACTAGGGCTCTCTTCCCGCGTCCGGATACGTGCATCGCGAGTAAAATATTAGCAAATTCGCCAAATAGGACCAATCATTATTGGATTCTCGCTGGCTCCGGCGGGATCGCCTTTTGGAGCCTTGCTCAAATGAACATGAAACCGTCCTGAAGGAGAGTCCCCCAGCCCTCTTTGCTGTATGCAAGTCATCGCAATAATCCCTTCTAGAATCCCGATCGAAACTTCAAATTTGCAAGGATTCCCAGATAGTTGTCCGATATAGACTGTATAAGACCATTTCAGCCGTAAGAACCTTGGGAGATATGATCAGGCCAAGAACAAGACGTTGAAAGTAATTCATAAAGTTCACGTTCACTCAACATTCACCATCTATTCACTTTCCATTTTAGTCGCTAATAGAACATACTCAGAGATGAATATCGACTTCACAGTAGGCCAAAGCTCCCATCTCTTCGCTATTGACAAGCCCATGAGAAACACCCCCTAACTAGAATGCCTCTTCCTAGTAATAGTAAGACCCCTATAAGGCGGTTTGGGAAGTTAAGGTAACTTTCCGTAACGTTGTGTAACCGAGACTAAAGCGATTCGCACTTCTCCGATGCACTTCCACGACGCAATAAATCTTTTCCAATCACTTGCTAATGTTATTCCCATACGCCGGCCAGATTTATTCCCGCTAATACCAATTGGTACAAATCCGTATCGTGCAGTGTGTAGTGGCTGAAAGGCGCCAAATCGTTTGCGTTTGCTGTTGAAAACGCATCGGCAAATGATGACTTAGTTTTTCTACTTTCGATAGTAAATCTATGCAACACGTCAGTATTTATCACTATCTGAGCAAATTCGTACATCGACTTACCTTTTTAAATTGGAAATGAAGTTGAAGAATGCCCTAGAACCAAAAAGTCAGAAACGGCTATTGTAACGGCAGTTTAAGAACAGGAGGGGTGGAAATGTGCATAAACCGGGAAGAAATTCAAAAAACAACCCAGGCGAGAATGACAGATGTGACTTAAGATCGACATCCTAGGGGCCGCTTGATAGGATTCATAGGTAAATAACATCAATGCTTGCCACCACCCCTGACGTCCTGGTCGTGACTGTTCGGTGCTTCCAGGCCACGTGATACAGATGTATAGTATAGAGGTATGGCAGTACATGCCTACCTGCGTTGCATGGAATTTAGAATAATGACATACCTTGTCGAAGCTGCTCTTGAATCCGCGATCCTTCTTTGCACTATAATCCCATTCCCGGTCAACGATACGAAATGCAATATCCTCATACGGCGGACCAGCGATGAAGCGAATCAAACAGGTGTCTTCTTCCCCGGCCGGTGCAAAAGACTCTCCTCTTCTCCTTCCATGTTCGCGAATGATTTTGAATGTGGGTGCTTTCGTTTTGTCGATGAGGTCGGGATAGAATATGTTGAATTTATAGCCCTGAACGACTTTGGGTGGCGGGTTATCGTGGTCGTAGTGCGTCTGATTATACTTGTTCCACTCATATCCCATCTGCACCCTATTGAAATATCGCGGTTTCCGAGGTCTGTATTTATCCGCCCACTGCGGTTTCGTGGCGCTCGGAACTGTCTCTTCAGCTGAAAATATCTCCTCGTTCTCGCTTATCCCCCGCGCAACCTCTCGCTCGTAAAGAGCCTTCGTGGCTTGGGAAAAGTCCTCGTTGCCGCTCGTCGCAAATCTAGCAGTACCGGGGGGTGGTGCGTTGGTCGAGCTACTAGCCGCAGAAGTAACGGCTGCAGTAAGCTTTGACTTCGGAGCAGAAGTTGTCGCCAAATCCTTTGATCCGGCATGGACGACACTCCCAAATGTTTGTGGCTCGGCAAGGTCCTTCGCCTTTTCGGGATTCTTGTCTTGCAATAACTTTATTCTGCTTTCTCTGATTTCCTCGCAGATGTTTTTCAACTTAGCTTTCGCCTTGAAGATTTGCAAGCTCTTGAGTAGCTGTTCCCAATAATCGGTGTCCATCACCTCATCCGAACGCAGCTTAGCCTGTATCTGGCCTTCCAGCTTCTCTAGCTGTTCGAGATTCTTCGGACCGAGAATTTTGTCCACGTCGGCGCTGACTGAATTGACAACACGTTCCTCAGGGCCCATGGGTTTGAGTCGTTGTCTTCTATCGGTACAGAGTGTTTGTAGGGCCTTCCAGTATTCTCGATTCCTTTTATTCGTTTCCAGAGTCAAGTAGGGTGTGATATCAGTATCGAGTTCATCAAGGGCGGATTCCTTTAACCCTTCTATAACGGTGCCGGGTGCAGGAACGTCGATATCTATGTCGGCATCGTCGTCGTCAAATACGTCGCGGTCCGTATCGATATAACGTAGATTAAAGGCTAAGAGGTCGATAGGCTTTGCTCGTCCTTCCCTTACTCGGATATCGGCCTTCTTCTTGGCCTGTTTTAGGACAAACTTATCCTCGTCGGCGACAAATTGTCGGGACTGCTCATCTTGGCTGAGCCAATTTTGTGTGGGTTGGGTCGCTGTAGTCGTAGAACTGGACGGTTTGTTTTGGGTGGGCCGCGATGACTTGGTGATTCTATTATTGAGATCACGTCTGGGAGATGTGATATCGCGGCGAGGGGGTGACTTACGGCCATAAATCATAGCACGTCGTCCAGGATCCATCTTTTTTTTTCTTTTGCCAGTCTTATCTACCCAAACTGTTGATCTATATGGGGATTATTGGGAGGGGATATGATATTCTCAGATGATTGGGAATATTTGTTGTTATTTTTATTTTTTTTTTTTAATGTTGTAAGATTGCAGTTTGCATGTACGTAAGCATTCACTTCGAACTGAAATGCGAGGCAAGTTGGTAACACCGTGACAGCCCCCCACTCCGTCCCCACACACTTTTCTCTCCGCCAATGGAATTTAAGCTAAGTTACCTCGTAAAGTTGCTACTGCACTGCCGGGGTCTTGGCACATCGATTTTACTCTTGCTCTTATTGACTTTCCAACATATTGTGACTTATCATTGTTTCAACAGCCAGCTACTATTGCTTTACCCATAGACTAATCTTAGGTACCTACCTAAAACATTCTGAAAATTTTCAATATAATTTTCAATATAATTTTTATATATTAGTTACCTGCCATTTTCTTTTACCCAATATCATGTGGTTATTTCACATATAATCGAAACATCTTTTTTGTAAAGAAATGCCAAGACTAGGTCGTTGCGACTAAAGCTCTTTGTCACATGACCTCGTGTATATATACTTCACCTACTAGGTGGATCTTGTACAGTAGCCAACCTTTACAACACCAACAACAATAATACAATGATCCAATGATTCCATGATACTCTTCTTAAGGCTTCGATACCTCCGAGGCTTTACCTAGGTACACGATGAGTTTAACCCAAAGTTAAATAACCAGCACCACTTAGCCACCAAGATATCGTCGAATAGTAACTAACCTAGTATCAATCATCCTACTTACTGGTCGAGTAAAGTTATCCCCCTTTAAATCACGCTTACGATTTCATCGACAAGGATCCTTTAGTGTACTGGATTCATTAACGTCCGGTAGATGTATGAAACTACCTAACCTACTTGATCTAATAATAAGCCTACACTTAGCCACCCTATACGCATCTATAGCGTGTGGGGCGATCGTAGGACCAAGGTAGAGACATCATATCGCCCAAGTGATAACCAAGGGGGTAACCGGCCAACCGCACGTAAACATTCATAAATGTTGTTCGTTCCGTGCCCTATACCAATTCCGTAACCTCTTGCACCAATATGACGTCCAAAAGACACACCATGCTTATACCTGTTCGTAGAATATTACGTCGTAATAGGCTAGGTAGAGCAAACCCAAGGCGGCGATGGCACAGGCGGCCCGGATCTATGGATTATTAGCATATCCATAAAATATAAGGTAGGCATATTTGAAGACTTACGAGGAGCATTTTGTAGTTCACTGGATTCGTTGCCTCTTCCTCCGGTTCCTCTTCGGAATCGTCTTCTGATTCGTCCGAGGATGCTTGTGAGTGCCGGGAAGGATTCGCAATAGTCTTCTTGTGAGAACCCTGCACAAGCTGTGTATGTTCCATTTTAAGGCGCTCGATGTCCAGCCGAATCAGGAACACACGCTGCAGCGCCTGATAGACATGCTCTTTAACAGCTTCCAAATGCTCGTTAACGCCACCGATACGGGGTCTCATGACATCGAGATCCTTGCTCTGGATCTGAACGCGAATGCCCTCTAGCATCATGGACTGGGCCTCCAAAGATGTCCGGACGTAGTCAATCGAGCTTGCTAGGAGCTTAATGGTGTCTGACCCGCCGTCTTCAGCAGATCGTGCGTGACGATCACGACTATGATAGCGGCGGACCCGGTCTTGAACATCTTCAAGCATTGCCTAGGAATTTTAAGTCTTGTTAGTCAATAGAGTCGCGGAGGTATGAAAGTATTAGGACATTAGATCCTCGGTTGTCTATTGTAGAGCTGCGCATCTCTCCTTACCCACGGGAAATTCCGATGGAAAGTTGATAGATATCGTGGAAGCGCCGGTGATGTCTCGAAGGACTATCATTATAGACAGGGTCTATAGGTTTATGCGAAGGAGGGAACTATCAATGTCTATGTACTTACCGTAACTGTATCAATGTTGATGAGTTCTGGGTCGCGGACTTCAGACGGGTTAGTATTTGAAGGCATATTCTGGCGAACGGATAAGTTAGCGCTGGATGACATCTCGAGGGCGGTACGTTGTGGTAGGTTTACTTACCGTAAGCCTTTGAGAGAAAGCTAGGTTCAGATGGGAATGAGTATTGGTCTGCGATGAGGTGTATTAGGTTGTTATTGATGGTCAACACGAGGTGTTCCTAGACTCGGATACTCCAGATGAGTTGTTGGTTCCGATACGTGAAAGTGAAAAGAAGGTTAGGTGGAGGAAATTGAGAGGTAGAGAGAGAGAAGGCTAAGCTTCGTGGACATCTGAAGCCAGCAAGGTCGCGTACACTGCTTTACGGTCTATGCGTATCCACGTCGTGAGGTGTAAATATAAACTTTTCTAAGAAGGAACTACCCAAGTAGGTGCCTAACGTAAGTCCCTACCCGGATGGATAAGTGCGTAAATAGGTGTGGCGTGAGACCGTCACGGGGCCTTAGGAAAACTAGTATGTTGGGCGGAGCGTACGTACCTTAGTTCAGCAACTGCTCCCCTCGACATTGACTTTAAGAAGAGCACTTCGGACTTTCGTAGTTCCAGCAACGAGAATCCATGGCAACGGCGGCTCTGGCTAGCTCAGCCGCGCCCCTTTCGTTGCCACTCTCGCGGCGTATAATCCGTCTATAGGTAGAAGTCGAAGATATAGATATAATCACCTAATCGAAACCCAAACGCATCCGAATGACCGCCCCTATGTAGGCTGAGTGTCATCTTAAAGAACCTTACATCCTAAGTCGTATTCATAACATAGCATTAAAGCCATTACGGTAGCAAAACTACTACCGCGCTATCGCGTAAACGTGAGATACCTACCGTCAACAGAAGCTCTTAGGTAAACGAGATGTTATTGTGTTCCTAGCCTAACGTCTCTATCTTCATCTCCCTGTCCTTATATCGGAGATAAGAACTCAATAACTAGCGTCCATCCATGTCGATCCAAATATTCCACCCAGCAGAGGAGAGAAGCACATAAACAGGATGAGTATAGGAATAACTGCCACCGTGGCTATCACGACTTGTCCCTTATTTCAATTAGCCTATGAGCCCTCGAATCGTCAATGTCGCCACTTACACCTTGGGCAGGAGCTAGAATGATATCGGGACTCTTGTGCGGTTTTCTTTTATGAAGATTCGGGATGGCCTCTTCCACGAAGCGGCGCGTCTTCTGGCAATCACGGGCGATCCTTTCCAGCTGAGCACCGACCATTCCTATTCTATTCTCGTCGTCAATCGGGTATAACTCCATCAGTTTCAGAACCTTCTCTAATTTCTCCTCAAGGTCCTTGATTGCGGAACGGTTGGCCTTCTGCTGCTTGATATAATCTTCCTTCTATTCGTTGAGAACCCAAGTCAGCAATGATCTAGCCGAGGAAGTCTAGCCTGTAGTCTTGATCACGAGGGATGATTGCGGAGCGATGTTGATAACATCTATCGTAAAGGTTAGCTGTAGAACATACAAGGAGAAGTGGGGGACCGGAGGTTTGGACGAAGTCTGTACTACCAAGACGGTAACGACCAGGTTTGAAGTCCGCCATCTATCAGTCAAGTTCCGTTAGAAATATCCGTAAATACCCAAACATGCCATGGTGAATGGAATCTTGAAGGTGCAAATTGTAAATTGTGGCACTGGCTACCTTGAATCGTTCTACTTGGTCACCCTGGAGAAGGATGATCGAAGATTTGCTGATGAGGAGATTGAAAGGCTTAGGATGGATGATAGAGATGCGAATGTTGAAGGGCCTTCTGATTTCCTAAGCGCTCAGAAGAGCTTAAAGTTGCTTAAGAGGAAATATTATTTTTACCTGGTGGACTTCAAACCCCGCTCTAACTAAATACTAACAATTCATATAAGGGTTGTTTTATATACTTTCATTACTCACGCATATCAGCCAATGTGAGCCTCAATTCTCAGACAGTATGAAACGCTTAACAGCCTTACTCACGTATCATGTAAAACTAGGCCAAGGTGGAACAGGCGTTGTGAACCAGGTATCTAGCTTAGGTAGGTATAGCCGTCTAAACACAGACATGAATACTTTGGTTTTCATAACTAGGTGTTGATGAATGTTGTCAATTTGAACTATTCCACGTGTTCCAGGAAGAAGCTTTATGTACCGGGACTATTATCACTTCCCTAACTTGTGAGATATCGAGAATAAGAGGGAAAGATTTCGACATTGAGTTTCATATGCTCTTAAGTGGTATAATATCGCGCTTTCTTATGACTTGATGCCAGCCTCTAGGTAAGTCGAACACTCCCAGGCACGCGCTTAATGCATCTCCAGCGGCCTTTGTTTTGACTGTACATATCCTTTGAACGTATTTTCTTTACACAAACGATGGAAGGCGTATTTATACAATTATATTTAATCCACTAACCCCTTGGCAGTATTCATATGCTAGATCTATGCATTAGGGGCAACCATCGGTGCTGACTGGCGATCGCAAGAGCTGTTATTATTATACTAATTCATATCACATCAGTTTTCATGGCGGCGTAGGATCTTTGATCAAGACCCTGAGGTGCAATCAAAGGCATTTTCATGGGTCCTCCTTTGACCGGTATAATAGTTCTCATCTGATAGAAGTCTTAAAAAGATTGTTAATATCTTTATAGATAAAAATGTCTAAAGCTATCCGTGCATTGGTAATGACTTTGGATATAAATTCAACCCAACACCAACTAAAAACTCGCTTAATATCTCCGATATTAGGGGGATGTTTTAATCCGAGAAGTGCTTGAGATCGCGAAACAGAATGTCAATATAGAGATGGGTAGACCATATGTCATCAGACTGTGTCAAGACGTATATTGCGGACGCGAAGCTATTCAAGGAGAGTCGTATTGTCAGACACACATCAGAAAACCTTGGAAGGTAGTGAGAAATGAAGATTTCCCCCGAGAGAAGAAGAAAAAGAAGAAGAAGAAGAAGGTACGTATTCCCAGCCCGTTAACTCAACCTAAACCCCTAACCCCTGGCTCATATTATTTATGCCTTCAACAACTGAAAATTATTTCTTCAACCAATTTGGACCAGACCTTCGTTATACATATTCAAAATGCTTGCTAACCTGAACTCTGTACTGTAGAAATGTGGTACTTGTGGAGACGTCATGTCACCTCGATGGAGGTACAAAGATTGCCAGGAATGTTGCGATAGACTCAAATTAAAACGGAAGCGCGAGTCGGCAGATATAGGGTCACGTTCTCCAACGCCTGGTATTGGCCAAGCAGGATACGATGCTGAAGATGAAGTGCCTCCAGTTCCAGCTAATGGTAGACAGAAAGCCAAGGAGAGTTGGAAAGATGTTAAAATGAGGACTCGCCTTTATCAAGATCCTGTCCCCGAGGCTTATCCTTAGAATGATCCTACGTATGTTCCCTTCTACGCTAACTCTGCACTTCCATTTCCTCAGACCAATTACCCAAACTATCAATTTAACTATACGCAAAACCCCATGTTGACCCCTACGTTGGGATATTATAACAACAACATCCCCCCCACTCCAGCATTCAACTACAATTGGTACCCGAATACAACAATTCCCAACTTTCAACCTCAAGTTCCTCAATATCATCAGACATTTACTCCTATACATTACAACCCCCACGGGGGAAAGAGGACGAACTCGATAAACGCTACCACAACGGCCAACCAGAGCAAGGATCGAAGTGCACATTCTTTGCCTCGAAACTCCAAGAATAAGAGCAAAGCTAAATCAACTGCCATTGTCTATAGCCCATTGTCGAAACATATCGGAATATTCGAGGCCGAGAACAGTAAGGTTGCTAAACCCGCATTTGGGGGGTACAAGCAGGGCGATCGATACACAACTCCCACCTCTGAAGGCCGGCAAAATGCAAATATGTTCGACAATATGTCCCCCTTGTCAGATTACAACTGGAAAGGTGGCTACCCCCCTGGATGCACTCCCACGTCCCAGGAACTCGCGGACAACGGCTTCGCTACTCCCAAAAATGCCACGCCGCCGCCCCTGGATACCCCACGAGGCGACGTAAAGACTGCGGAAGGCACCCACCAGCACCACGACAACGCCTCGCAGCTCGCACGTGGTGAGAGTAATGGTAAAATAGCTTCCACCAGAAATACCACTCCATCTGGGCTTTTCGAAAACAATAGCTCCAATCCCTCCAGAACGCCTTCGCCACTGTCCCACGACGGCCGGGACGGCGGAACAGCCGCGCCTAGATGTACCCCCACCTCCTTTCCCATCGAGAAAAAACAGCCACAAAGTGACCGCGCCCACAGCAAATCTCAACGCAAATCCCGGCGGAACCCAGGCGCCACAGTCCCCACCGATTCACGCAGTACGTCCCAGCCCGCGGAGCAGAACGCCGGCGCCGCGGACATCAGCCCCACGCAGGTCCTCGGCCAGAGCGCACTCGTCGGGCGTGTGTACGGACACCGCGAGGCGGATGGAGAGGATCCCAGCCCGACCATCAAATCCGAGGGATCTCCCTGGAGAACCGCCCGCTTCGCGCTTGCTATACGTCCGTATAGCGCGTGCGGGAGCGACGCGAGGAGCCCGAAGATGGAGCTGGGGTTTATTTGCCACAGGCGCTGAGGCTGGCGCGGATGTAGTTGGCTCGCGCAGAAGGTTGTTAGGAAGGCATCACGTGGCGCTTCTGTTACTGCTGAAAAAACGTACGAACATGTTGCTTGCCTAGGTACCTACCTATTGCTGCGGGGGAAGTGATGGAGTGAGCATGGAATACTGTAACTATAGAATAGAATGGCAATTTTAATACTGTAAATAATAATATATACTAACAGCTCTTACAAAATAAAATCTCTCCTTTTGATCTCATATTGCATACCTCCTCTGCCGAGTAATGTCTTTTCCCATCACATATTAGTTATCAGAAATCATGCTATGCTGTTTGGGAGAGAGCGCGCTAAGAAATCTCTGCCCCTTTTTTCTGCCCCTTTTTTCTACCCCACCCCTTAACGCGAGTGCGGAAAGGGGGGCCCTTTTTCAACATCCAATGTTAAATTCTCATACGAATCCGGCGTACCTGTTACAGGCACCTTATTCGGGTAGACGAATATATTTTCAATTAATTCCAATCTATGCCGCTGAAACCAATATGTCATGTCACCGGATCTATTCACACAGGCGGGGCGACGAGAATAGTTATGTCTCCCGAGAACTTCCCCTTGCCAAACAAGTATCACAAGCTCGATTTTGAAGATATGAAAACTCTTCTAGGTATTTGGCGAGTAACTCTAAACTTCGGTACAATAAGTTATGAACACCGGCGACTATCGACAGTAGGTACCTAAGGTATATACAAAGTGCTACCCCGAACCACGAACTCAATACCTCTTCCTCTCCTTCCCCCGCGTGTTCACCCTCCAGAGGCAAATCACGCTCTTAGACTCGCACCACTTCTTCACGTCCTCAGGGGAGACCTCGTCATCGTACCCTACTTTACCCAGAGCCCCCGCGTTCAGCCACGCGGCCAGATCTTCCAGGATGATCGGGTCGTACAGCAACATCTTCTCGTGCCAGGAGGGGTTCGCGGGGTCCTGCGAGCGGGGCGCCGACGTTACGGCCTTGGTGATCTGCCGGAACAGGTCGGCCTGCTGGTCCGTGGGCGCCAGCGCGAGCGACATGTCAGCGTCCTCGGAGAGCGAGAGGTCGACCGCCGGCGGGGAGGAGAATATCCGGTCGTAATCTGGTGAGGAAGCCCTAGAAGGAGACGAGAACGATAATACGGAGCCCTCCACGTCGGAATCCGCGATCTCGATGGATTTTACGGCTGCATTCTTCTTTCGGGGCGAACGTGGCTTTTTCGTGGTAGTCGCTTTAGCTGCTCTAGCTGCTTTAGTTGTCGAGGCTTTCGCCGTTGAAGCTTCAGCTTCAGTTTTTGATGCGGAATCCTTCCTTGGGCGGCCCCGTCGCTTGGGAGGATTTTCGGGTTGGGTGATAGTAGTAGTGGCCTGCTTCCTCTTGGGGGCAGATGAGGCGGACGTAGTAGAGATTGAATTGGCGTGAGCCAGAGAAACTCCAGGGTTCTTACTAACCCAACATTGGTTCAAAAGCGCAATCATAGCTTGACGTTTTTTGACTGGTTTAAACCCGTAGGACGCAATTTGGCTAGCAAGTTGCGCGTCGTTGAGAAACTCAAAATCCGGACGTGGATTACTAGCCTCTGCGGCGACATCTGTACGGTCTTCACTGTTGACTCGCGGGGGCTGCGCGCTATGTATATCTTGGAATTGAGGGTCGGGATTTAGTTGTAGGGCATTTCCTCCTGATTCGTCAATTTCTGACGACTTCAACACGTCGTTGATATCAATAAATCCATCATCAGAATGTTGTTTTAATTTTTGGGGTCGGGAGAATGATGGTAAACCTGTAACCAGCTCAACTTCATCTACTTTCATTAATTCACCGTCGGTATCTCTTGCACCAGCATGCCAGAGCCCTTGACTATCGGAATCGGCGAAAGGGTCAGAATCAACTTGGTTTGAGGCTTGTATTGCCAATTGAAGATCTCTAAGAATTGTGGGCGAGTCTTCTCTAACCAACTGGCTCGATGTTCCAAAAACAAAGTCTTGATTGGAGGATTGCTTCAATGCAGAGTTTGGAGACAATAAGATTGGATTATCTATTGTACCAGACTTCTTCTTGCGCTTAGACTTTGCCGGTGCTTTAGGTTCTTTAGCCTTGCCTTTCTTCTGCGTCATGACATTGGTTTGTTGATCAACAAGCGCCTTGACAGCACCATCCTCATCGAAATAGCTTAGTAACGATTCCTTTGTTGCTGGGCCTGTAAGGTCAAGTTCAGGAGCCATTATGGGCATATAAGGCGCAGTCGCCAATTCTGTGATCGTCCTCGTCTTCTTCTTAGTGTTAACCGCCTTAGTTGGGGAAGCATCCCTCGGTTGCTGCTCTTTCTCGATACTAGTCGAAACGAGTCTGATCGGCTTCCGCTTCTCCAACACATTCGTCTGCTGCGACCGCCCCGACGTAGTAGATGACGCAGTATCCTTGCATCCGTACCGATCCTGAAGTGTACCGAATACGTCCCTCGAACTAGTGCCCCGGTCGACAGATGAGAGCAGCTCCCGATTATCCGATTCAGACTCCAAAAGAATAGGATCATTCGGGGGCGGAGGGGTCCAGTCTCTTCGCCGTCTCAAAGCAGGTTCCGCGCAGTTAAGATCATTTGTGATTCGGTCATCTATATTCTGTGCTATGGTAGCATTCTCCGATTTCTCATCCGCCCGTTTTCCGACGCCTTCTTTCGCAGGAAAGTGCTTAGAAACAGTCCCCGTCTTCGCCTTTTGTTTACCTTTGCTCGTTTGCTTAGTGACGCTAGTTTTCGAAATAGGCAGCTGCTCGCTCTGTGAGGTTGACTTCTTGCTCTTGAACTTTTGCCACGGCTTTTCTTGCGATGATTCAACTAGAATAGGCGAATCTATAGGTACACTAGCATTCTCTGGCGTTAGAGTTCTGCCCTTCTTGGTTTTGGTGGGTTGGGATTTTCGTGGTGGTGAATAGGTAATTTGTTCGGTCTCTATATCGATCTCAGGCGCTTCCCGCAGTACGATGGCGGCGGTGGTGGTAAAGGTGGTACGGGCATCATCGGGTATTGGTGGCGCACGGCTCCCACTTCGTAAAGGTGGCGGCTTGGGATGTTTGGAGAATATCTCGTTTAAAGGAGGTAGATTAGGTGAGGAGGACATATCATAGGAATCATCAACCCTTGCAGGGGGTGCGGGAGACGACAGGAACACATCGGTTGTCGACATGGCGGATCGAAATCGTAGGGTGAGAGGTAGGATGCGCAAAGCGCAAACAGGGATTTTATTGATCGACAGGGTAATGGGAAAATTCCCAGTAGGTCGCATCTGTCATAATAGAAACATTTCACGGGATATACAATTGAAGAGACTTGATTGAATTGAGTGGAATTTGATTGATAATGATGTTTTTTTTTTATTCAAAGGTGAAGTTGATGTTGATGTTGATGTTGATGTTGATTTCAGATAATTCGTTGTTCGTTTTTGGTTGTTAGTTGTTACGGTGTTACGCGCGTACCTAAGGTTCAAACAAGCAAATTGAATGCTAACGAAACCCCAGAACGCCAAGACCCACTTTATACCTAGCCACCGCGAAATAGTCTCGAAAGCACCTGACATACCATCCACGTGATCTGCACCCGAGCTTTTGAGCCCCACGCCCACCAAACAACAATTTTTGTGTTTTCGGAGGGGTCAAAATTTCCCAAGTGAATAATTTATTATTAGGGCTTCACTTCAACCCACGACAACATCCAACCCCTTTTGCGACATTCCCACCGCCCGCAACCTTCCCACCATCAACAAATTTCGATTTACTACAGTCGATAAGTCGCAAAAATGGAAAACGACAAGGGAGAGATCGTGGACCTGTAAGGATTCCCATTTATTTACTTCTTTATTTATTTCTTGTTTAATTATGAATACCTAATGTACCGAATTCGCTTGCTAACCAACGATCGATCTCTAGGTACGTCCCCCGAAAGTGCAGCGCCACCAACCGCATCATCAAGGCCAAGGACCACGCTTCCGTCCAGATCTCCATCGCCAAGGTTGACGAGAACGGCCGACAAATCCAGGGCGAGAACCACGTCTACGCCCTCTGCGGTTTCGTGCGCGCGATGGGCGAGAGCGACGATGCTCTTAACAGACTCGCCCAGCGCGACGGTCTCCTGAAGAACGTCTGGAGCCCCGTGCGATAAATTCCTTTTATCATCTGGGTGGTTAGTCCGTTATTGCTGGTTCCGTCTTCCGTCGAGCACCTCCTAACGCGTCCTGCAGATGGGCAACTGGTGTTCTTGGGGAATTCATGACTGTATATGGTCGGCATGGGATTGTTTTTGATGCTACATCTAGCCGGTTAGATAAACCGCCACATCCACGTTTCGGAACGAAAAAATACAAAAACGATTCCCTTTCGCGCCTTTCAAGTCTTTCAAAATTATCTTTGATCTCCCCTCCGTAATACGTACGCTTGCCAAATCCCTGTACCCCCGTACCCCCGTACGGCTAGCGAAGTCTTCTCGCGCCCACTCCGAGTGACCCTCTATGTGCGAGGATTCTGGGGCTACCTCGATAGCCTCCGTGCCGAAGATTAACAATGACCTTGAAAAAGCCGTAATGCTCGAGACGTCCATTACAGCACAGATACGGGTCAAACATTTCCCTTTCTCGTAACCAACTTAAGCCTCGTTCATTTCCCATTGGTGCTCCTGGACTGTACACGTCAATCGACATCCTGTTTTAGATGATGCACAGAATCCCGACTACCCTATAGACTTGAAGAGTCCCTCCCTGTAATCTAGTCTTCATAGACAACTGAGAGAGTTGGCTCCGCTGTTACTGTTTCAAGTCTAGACCGTATTCCATTTAAAATATATTTGTTCAGTCCAACAACCCTGACTTTAAACTTAATCCTTATGAGAGCTACTTTTATCCACCATCGGCGTCGGCGTGATTAGTCACGTGTTATCCTATTAGTAGACGGACGTTGATAAAAATTATCATGTCTTACCCCCATTGATATGAATCAAAATAAGAGGATACTATGTGCTATCCATCTAGATCTTCTCATATATCCCATCTAGAGCACTGGCCATTATTGTACTGGAAGATGTAAACTTACATACTTTCATAACTCATATAATAACAGGTACATAATATAACTATGTCCTCAGGTGACAACTTAAACACATGTACATGCTCCACCTATATCAACCAACCAAAATCTCCAAAATAATCAAGACATACTAGTTTAGGAATGGTAGGAAAGAAATCAACCAATCAAATTTAAACGAGCAAAGTACCTGAGGCGCTATGCTTGTTCCATGAATAGCTTGGGTAATTAAGATTCCAAAGTCATTAACTAGTCGAAAATGGGATGTAATTCAATTTTATTCATACCTTGGATAACTATTACCTAGGTACCTAGATGCAAAGATACCAATCACTTATACACAGCATAACACGGCACGTTATAGGGGAGGCACTGGTAGCTTTTATTGCAGAACATCTACATAGGTAACGACGGCATCCTGAAAACCGGAACCTTGGAGAAAATACCTTGCAAGGATACTTCTTCCATTCCTAATCCCTGATCCTGACTCCTATCTCCTATCTCCTCCAATGGCTAAAACTGTCGATCTTCCTAAACCGTCATGATAGGTAATAAGACCAACCATCATCTGTAATCCAGGCTCAGTAATCCAGTGTGTATCCTATCCCCGTAACTACCCAAGAGCTTATTGACCTCCCTCCCCGCTCCGGAACCAGTAAGCCCGCGGATCCACGCGAGGGCGGATACGCATGCGGCCCACGCCCGCTCGCACATTCTCCCGTGCGACGTCGTCGTCGTCGTCGTCGTCGTCGTCCAGCTGGGCCGCGACATGCGCGTCCGTCATCTTGACGTCCGCAGTGTCCGGCGTGTTCTCAATATCATTGTCGTTGGCCGCAGCAGTACCATTCCCAGCGCCGGCAGTACCTGTACCTGTACCCGTAGCCGTAGCAGCAGGAGCAGCAGCCGTGGCAGTAGCGTTGTCCTCCTCCTCGTGCCCTCCCACAAACTCGTACAGCTCGAACTCAGCTACGCTCCACAGGCCGCCGACCTCGGCATACAACCGATCGATGGCAGCCGCGGTGCGGCAGTGGCGACGCTGCTGCTGGCGGCCGCGATGCAGGTCGAAAGCGGCTGACAGCGCCGCGGACGACGACGGCTCCTCGCATTCTTCCCGATACACCATGCGCGCGGCGACCAGCCGCTCGACGAGCTCGATGAACTGCGACTCCGCGAGGTCCTGCGCCCACGGCGTCGCCAGGCGCAGCGCGCTGATGTACTCGAGGACCCCGCCGTCGGCGCGCGTCAGGTGCTTCTTGATGTCCCGGCGGAGGGCGACGGAGAACATGTGCGCCACTGTGGATGGGGGTGTTAGTTATTAATCCATCATAGGCTACGTATCTATATCTATATATAATAGGGCAGGTTCGCGGCAGTGGGGAGTGAGTGAGTTGTAAGGAGAATAAGTAGGACGGGTAGAGAAGTTTAAGAAGGTAAGGTAAGGTAAGGTAAGCTAGCGTAGGCAGGTTAGGTTAGGTACTCACGAGCTTCGTTAAGGACTCTGGTGGAGTAAAAGTACGCCTTGCCCCTCGGGAGTAATCGCGCTTTGCTGAGCGCCGCCACGACGCGGTCGTCTCGGTGAGGCTGGCTGAGGAGGTATCGGGTCTTGGGATACTCCATTCCCATCTCGGGCAGGTATGTGCGGAGAGACTTGTAGACAATTCTCTTGGCGGGTGCGCGTTGGCGAACCATCTTGCTTGATCTTGATCTTGAAGCGAATGATATTTTTATAATGCTGGATAGTGTAAGGTCTCACGAATGAGTGCTTGTTACGATTCTTGGTGATGCTATGGTGGATTGGTTATGGTAGCGCTCTAATTCCTGGGTTAGGCACTCGTGTTTATATGTAAATCTGAGGGGACGGATATAATGATAAGGGGCTTTGAATAAATGTAGGTATGCAGGTTCGTTAACTTACTAGGCCGAATCTTTGGTATCATAGACTTATCGCCAGCTGCTAGTTGCGAAGGAAAGGTAGTTTGATGTTGGAAATCGTGTACCAACACAGTGACGTGACTCATGAATTTGATTTTCAACTGCAGCAGCTTAACCTGAGATAAAAGATAAGAGATTACTGCCTAAGGTGCATTTACAGATAATCAAATCAGTTCAAATCCCCGCCTAAGAGCGCACACCTTGATGGGAGAGGTGGAGGGGTACCATTGTTACCAATGTATTTAAGTAGTAATGTGACTTTTTCACCAATATTTTGGCTATCTACCTACCTAGGTAGCTTATATATTAGGAAACGAGAGTGCTAACCAAATACTGCAAAGTTACTTCGTCTTACATTAGGATCATTAGGATGGAAGTAGGAGATAGAAAATTGGAGGATAAGAGGATGGAACTATTTTTTTCCCCGCGGGCATCCCAATGTGTCAGAAGGTAAGTGATGGAAGTAAAAATTATTTCATAAAACTTCGGTGTTTTATTCTCATGTATCTCATTATCATGTTTAGTAACCAGTTACCAGCTAGGTAGGAAAACTTCCTAGACGCGTCGTGGTAAGACCAACTAAAATCTACACTATCCTAACCCTTCCTCGATCTCCAATATCCGCATGGATATGTCATGTATCCGATCTAATCATTGTCTACGTCCATCGGATCATTGATATCCATTTCCTCGACCCCTTTCTTGATAGCCTCTTCGTCGGCAACATCTTCCAGGGATGTAGTTAGACTGTCCACCTCCATCTGCATGCTCTCCGATGATCCATTGTCGTCGTCGAGGGCCTCTAGGGTAGAACAGTCGGAGTAATTCTTATCAATCTCCTCGTCATCGTATTCCTCCCATCCGCCCACAAGTTCGTAGATCTCGAACTCAGCGCGATTCCAACGATCTCCCACTGCGCTTAGCAGGGCATCGATGCTACGCGCCGTCTTGCTCTGCTGGTCGGGATCGAACGGAGGGCGCGGGTTCTGCTGCCACTCCTTTCGCGCCTCGGCTAAGCGCTCGCAGAGCTGGATAAAGGTTGACTCTCCGATTCCTTTGGCCTAGGTGACAGCGTCTTTGACGACACCGAGGAAGTCGAACAAGTCCCCATCTTCGGTGGTCAGGTGCTGGATGATATCGGGCTCCATTGCAGTGGTGAAGATGCTTGCGACTGCGAGAGCGAGAGTCAGCAATTGGTAATAAATGTACCTAGGCACTAAAAGGTATGAGATGTAAAATCATTTTTAAGGCTAACTCACGCGCTTCGTCTACCGCCCTCGTTGTTTTTTTCGCCGGCAATCTGCTATGCTCGGCAAATCCAGCCTGTTCCAATGACACCATGACGATATTGTCCTTACGACTTCTTTGGAGAAAATGGTGTCCAGGCGGATAGATCATTCCGGCGCGAGGGAGAAATATCATAAGTTGATTAGAGTAAGGCATGGTGACAACCACGTTGGTGGGGACTTCAGATTTGAATGCTTAAGAAGTGATTTGGCAGTAGAAATGCTCGATGGCGTTGTAGTAAGTTGTTGCAATAAGTCGTTATGCCTAAAACATCCAGCGGGGCGTGGAATCAATTGGAGGGTAAAGTTAATGGAACACCTCTGAGTGCTTTGGTAGAAGGGTGCTGCTTTGCAAGTAGGTACTTATTAATTATCTGTTGCAGACATAAAATTAGGTACCTACGTGGTACTAACGTACATAACAACGAGAGGTAATGCATACCAGGTACGTATGCACCTAAGTATCTAAAAGACTTGCGAAGCACGGAAAGACTAGGCGAAAGGTGAGTCCCATGGTTGCATGGTATTTGCCTACTCTGTCATGGGGTTTTCAATTGTATGGGACTGACAGCTGCCACAAAAATGGAAAGCTCGGGGAAAAGGTTAAGCATATCATGCCCTTTAACGCAAGGACCAGTAATGCTCCCTCGGGGGCATTTGGCCAAGTGGTAAGGCACGCAGTTTCCGAGCACAGTTCGAACCTCACCCATTGCGCTACTATCCTTTGATAGCTGTTGATTCATCAATGAACAACTCTCGCTGTGGAAATATAGTTATACGTAACTTGACCGCACACATACTTAGGTATATATGCAACGGCCTCGTTCATTCATCGATCATTAGTGGGTTCCGGGGATTTGTGAGGTTCTCTGTCATTCGAAACAATTTTTTTTTATTATCCATCTTACCCGCACCTTGCCCCCCCTCGTCTTTTCCCATTTTTTTTCTTTCTCCTAGATATCTCATAAAGATTTAATTATTGTTCCGAGTCCATATTAACCAAATATTTCCAAAGTGTTTTGCCTGGCAATTACGTGCTGATTAACTAACTGCTGATACGCCCCTTAACCCCCAATATCTCCATTGTCAATCAAGCCTCATACTTTTCATCAACCCTTATTCTACTTGCCTCAATGTAGGTATCATCGTATTAAGCTATGCCGCTAATTTTACTATGGCATCCTCGTACCTATCCAATATCCCAATTTACCTACCCATACCGCCGTATTATAAGTGCATCTATCCTTCGTAGTAACCTTATTCTACTTCCCAGAGCAGTCTCGTCTTAAGTAGTGGTTATTTTAAAAGCATTTTGTTCAATTACTTAATAGTCTTATTATTTCATACGATGCGCCCTATCATCGATCTTTTTGTTGCATGTGTAAGTCCCATGGGTTGTCGTTAAATTTAGGATACCGGGGTTACATTTGCGGCTCGTAGGGCTGATGTAAGTCCCCACCAGCCCCAATCCACCGTATCCGTATCGGAAATAACGATCGATTAACCCCCCTGTTAGATCGATCTGGGGTCTCGATGATGCAAGTCCATATCGGGACTATGTTTTTTTTTTTTTGAAGACGCCAAAAAAAAAAAGAATAATTGCAGTTGGATTTCTTTTCTTTTCTTTTCACACAGAATTCGCATCATTTTTCTAATCAGATTCCCGTAATTTTCGTGTAAGTTCATGTCTTTCTCCTGTTTTTCTTGTATTATTCGAAACCCAGTCGCGCACATCTCAGGTATCACATGCTTGCTTCGGACCAAGCTACCATTACGTCATAAAGCAAACATTACCCAGCCCTATTTGCTATTTCCACCATTTTCAACTATGGCTTCCAAGCGAACCGCCAAGCAAAGAGTCGCAAGCGACGACGATACCAAAGAGGAACCCGCGAAGAGACCTAAACTTAGGAATGGAGCTTCGGACCCGCTACGCGAGCCGCACCGTTTCGCGGCCGAAGCCGAGGAACACGGCATCGTGCTGCGCAAATTCTACCCGCCGGAAATGAGCAACGCGCGCGCCCGGGCATACAACGATAACAAGATCCCCCGCCCTATCGAACAGCTGGAAGCCGCGGTGGAGGAGACCGCGTCGATGCGGAAAGACACGAAGGTGAAGGAGGCTGTGATCCACTGGTTCAAGACGGACCTTCGGACTACGGACAATCGCGCCCTGTGGGAAGCCAGCCAGAAGGCCCGGGAAGCCGGCGTGCCGCTGATATGCATATACATCGTCAGCCTCGAGGACTTCGAGGCGCACTTCACGTCGCCGCCGCGCGTCGACTTCGTGATGCGCACCCTGCACGAGCTGAAGCGGGACCTGGCGGCTCTGGATATCCCCCTGCACGTCGAGACCGTCGCGAAGCGGACAAAAATCCAGGAGCGCATCGTGGAGTTCATGGACGAATGGGGCGCGAGCCATCTCTACGCGAATATCGAATACGAGGTCGACGAGCTGCGGAGGGACGCGCGGATCGTGCGGGTGTGCGCGGACAGGGGATTAGCTATGGTGCTGTTCCACGATACTTGCGTCGTCCCGCCGGGCGCGCTGCACACGGGCGCCGGGAAGCAGTACGCCGTGTACTCGCCGTGGTACCGGGCGTGGGTCGCGCACGTCCACGCGAACCAAGAGCTTCTCAGCTTACTCGAGCCTCCCGCGAAGAACCCCGCTGCGGCGCGGGAGAAGGTAGCGGCGCTGTTCGACTGCGAGATCCCGGAAGTGCCGGAGAACAAGCGCCTGTCGGAGGAGGACGCAGCGAGGTTCCGCGCCACGTGGCCGGCGGGCGAGCGGGAGGCGATGGCTAGGCTGGAGAAGTTCTGCGACGAGAAGATCGGCGCGTACGGCAAGAAGCGCAATTTTCCCGGCGACGCGGCGACGTCGTCGATTTCGGTGCATTTGGCTGCTGGGACGCTGAGCGCGAGGACGGCGGTGAGGACCGCGAGGGATAGGAATAAGACGAAGAAGCTGGATGCTGGTGTGGAAGGCATCCAGGCTTGGATCAGCGAGGTGGCGTGGAGAGACTTTTACAAACACGTCTTGGTCCACTGGCCTTATATCTGGTAAGCTTCGAGCACCTTTCATATTTTTACCGGGGATAGAAGCATCGCACTAAAATCCAGCCCTTAGCATGAACAAGCCGTTCAAGCCCGAGTACGCCAACATCGAGTGGTCGTACAACTCGGCGCACTTCGAAGCCTGGTGCGCGGGGCGCACGGGGTACCCGATCGTGGACGCGGCGATGCGGCAGATGCGGAGCATCGGGTACATGCACAACCGGTGCCGGATGATCGCGGCCTCGTTCCTGAGCAAGGACCTGCTGCTGGACTGGCGGCTGGGAGAGCGGTTCTTCATGGAGCGCCTGATCGACGGGGACTTCGCGTCGAACAACGGGGGGTGGGGGTTCAGCGCGTCCGTGGGCGTGGACCCGCAGCCGTATTTCCGCATTTTCAACCCCCTGCTGCAGAGCGAGAAGTTCGACCCCCGCGGTGAGTACATCCGCAAATGGGTCCCCGAGCTGAGGGGGGTCGAGGGAAAGGCCGTGCACGACCCGTATAATAGGGGCGCGGAGGAGAAGGCGAGGAAGGAAGGGTATCCCCGACCCATTGTGGATCATAGGGAGAGCAGGGAGCGCGCGTTGAGGGCTTATAAGGCTGGGATTGGGCGGGATAAGCCGTGAACGTGAACTCTATTAAATTGCATGTTGTGAGAAATGCGAGCATATAAAGCAGGCCTCTTAATCAGCTGTTATGGCAATGTTCTTCCCATTAGGAGTTTGGTGTTTGGGGGACGGACGGCAGGAGGGCTATCTTCTTGGATTTGTATTTTTGGGGGATAAATGAAGGAGATATAGGGATATGCAATCTAATAAATTTGTGACAGATAGTCTTGGGGTTTTCTACGTCAGTAGAGACTTGGATCAATCGCCTTGTTTCTTTATATCGCCGCTGAGTTGTTGGTCCATACCGTATAGTTTGGAACACAGGATTACTAGACGGCGCGAGACGTAGTCGACATTGATCCGGATCATCGTTTTCTCGAGGACGATGGGCATAAAGGTATTTGGAATGGTCCCATGTCTTTGTCTGCTTGCTGTCGTCGCTGTTTTCCGGCATTGTAGACCTAAGCTAGATCTGCGTACAAAATACCTACCTCGGAATATATTAGCCACTGTGGTGCCATATCATTGCTATGGCAGAATGGTGAAAGTTGTTAAATAATTTCTTTTAAATAGAATTTTTAGCCAAGATCCCCGAGTCATTCATTGACATGGTATACTCTTTGAGGCTTAGATGGAATGAGTAGAGAAGCTTGCCTCTATGAACTTGGGCATACTACTTTACTTCCATGAAAAAAAAGAATGCATATAATTCATCATTTCTTCTCTCCAAATCTAACTCGGTCTGAGTCCCATAGGAAATATAACTTGTTTAGTAGTGGTAGAGTAAGTTGTATGAGATGACGGGTATTAGATTCTGTTATCCCCGAAATGCAATAGCCGAGGTTAATTACAAAAGAGGAAGGTCGTTAGTCTTTGTGGGGAACTCTTGTGGGGGAATCCCCAAGTTTTTCTTTTAAAAAAAAAGCTTGGCGGCCTAACCTAAGGCCAGAGGCACTTTTCGTCGAGCCACGGCATTATAAACTCCACACATACTTTACCTAGTACCAAACAGGGTATGGACTAATGTCACTACCACTTATACTACCATTTATACTTCCACTTATAACTTACCTTATGTAGGTACCTGTTCTTACAGCTATCCTTGAATAATACACCATGTTCCTTCGTTCAACACATTTACTTCGACTGTCAACGAAGGCGAATGTAATTAACCAAACATACTTTCCTTCCTCAGTCGCGACCTGTCAGACCGCCTCATATTCTTCCATCCAACCTATACGTCCTCGTCTTAATCATGTCCAATTGAGCGAGGAACAGCCATTACCTATACAATCTTCCATAATTCAAAAGAGAGGAAACTCGATATCAAGTATACCAGAAAACGGGAAGATGACAGAACCACGACCTAGCGCAAGTGTCATTCTCCTATCTCCCGAGAACAAGGTTTTATTATTGCACAGAGTAAAAGAGTCCTCATCCTTCCCTTCATCTTATGTATTCCCAGGCGGGAATATATCCACCTTCCAGGACATACGTACCTCGTCTCCGGGAAAGGGGAGACACGAGGACTCAGTCGTATATCGGCTAGCCGCAATCCGTGAGACTTTCGAGGAAAGCGGAATTCTACTTGCCCGCGAGGAGGGAAAAGATGGCAAACTCATAAGTGTTCCTAATGCTGAGCGCGACAAAGCGCGCAAGGCGATTCATCAGAATCGACTCCACTTCAATACCTGGGTTGAGGAGCTAGGCGCCGTTCCAGATACAGGTAATAGCCTAGCTCCATATCCTACACCATATCCTACATTCACAACTATCGCTTTGCTCACTGACCGAAACTTCTGATAGATAACCTTGTCCCTTTTACTAGATGGATAACTCCTCCTTCACGATTCCGACGATACACTACCCAGATGTATCTTTACATGCTTCCTCTTTCGGCAAGCAATGACCCCACTGTAGCGGCGGCGCAAGCTGAAGCTATAATACCTACACCTGACGGGGGTGTTGAGATTAATGCGGCTCATTTCGACTATCCTAGTACGTGGCTAGAGAAGCAGTTACGGGGCGAGATCACTGTGTTCCCACCCCAATGCTTCCTTCTTCATCTTATGTCGCAGTTCTTAGTTGGCCCCCCCTCGGGTTCGCTAAGCGATTCCGAAGCAGCCAAGTATTACGAGACTCAGAGAGAGAAATTGAGAAGCTTTATCGCGGCGGTGCCGACGACAAGCGATCCGAAAGCTGCTGAGCACCCCACAGCTCAGATTCCTTGGGCAGAAAAGGTGATTTGCCCTAGTTTGATGGGCCTACGGAAAAACGATGGGAAGACGATTCTAGGACTCCAAAGCCCTGGCCCAGAACTCAGAAATAGTGGCAGGGGAGGTGACTGGGAGAAAGTTGTACTCACAAAATTTGTAAATGGGGCGTCTACGGAAGTTGAGGTGAGGAATAGAGTAGAAGTGCTCGAAAAGGAAAGAGAAGCGGAAAACGAAGCGCAAAACGAAACGAGAAAGGCAGCGGAAAAGGAAGCAGAAGGAGAACCCAGAGAGGCGAAGCTATAAGACTCAACTCAAACAGTCAGGTCCGCAGGCTATGGCCTGATGATGACTTCATGCTCTACACGTCGAGATCAGCTAGATTAAGTTCCGATGCCATCAGGTCAGTGGCAATTCGAGTGAATTTTGGCTCCCGAAATAATTGATTTGGAATGTTGCAAGCTTCAGGTACAACCGAAAACATCTGATATATAAAGTCATGATATGAACCTAACCTAACCTCGTCGAGTCTCGAACGCAGCTTGGTCATCTGAAGGCCACACATCTCCAGGGTGCACACAATAGGTACCTGTAGTAGTGAATGTTCATTTTTTCACTTACAAGTGGGTGTGACTGTTATGAACCTCGTCACTCTACCTGCAACAACCAATATGGTTAGCTCGAGCAACCCATTGCATACTCCAAACTACGAGCAAGGCATATATAAACCTGCTTTAGATACCTACCGAGGACTCCCCAACTTCCAACAATCCCGATAATCAAACCACTTCTTCTAGAAAAACCTCTTCAAAGTTGCGGTCATGAAGTCTATCATCGCTATCTTCCCCCTCTGCCTCTGGCACATGATCAGCGGAACCCCCATCCCGCCCCAAAACTCACCAGACGTCCTTCCCCGGAAACCACTTCTCCCCCACGTCGTCGAACCTATCATCACCTACCCGCGCGCCAGCGTCGAGAGCATCCGAGCCGCAACCCGCAAGGCCCGCGCCGGGTTATACGGCAGCACCTTCGCGGCCAGAAACGTAACGCTTCTAAACCACACCGTGCTGGGCACTCACCTCTTTGAGCGAGGCGACCACAAAGAGGACAAGGACAAGGGCAGCAACAACAAGACCATCTTCAAATCCACCTGCCACGCCAATGTGTCCACCTTCGTCGACAACACCCGCGCTACCTCGCCGCTCGCGGCCGACTGCTCTGCGCTCGTCGAGCAGATGATGAGCGAGTACGCGAGCCAGTCGTGCACGTCGTTCGGGTTCGCGCCTAGCCACGATAACATTAACAACGACAGCAGCAGCAGCAGCAAGACGACCACCAACCTGATTGCGGCACACGCGTCTTGCGGGTTCAGCATAACGGTCGACACCGCCGCGGTGGGGCGCACGTCCGTGGGCGTCGGTGACGTGGTGGCCGTGATCCGGGAGGTGGTGCGGCGGTTTGCGGTCGACTACGCGGTCGACAAGAAGACGCGGCGGCGCGACGACGGCGACGACGACGGCTGCGGCGGTGGGAACGTGGGGGTCGTGAACGGGACTGTGGGGCCGGTCAATTCGACTGCGAATGCGAGGGTTAGCGGTGCCGGCGCGTTTGAGTGCGGCGGCGATAGTGGTGGGAATGGTACGACGGGTCATGGGACTTTTGTGAATTGGGCGGTGGTTCATACTTAGTGGTGGTTTTTTTTTTTTAAAAAAAAGGATGGGATAATATGGGATGGAAAGGTCTGGGAGGAATATATCGTTACTGGGGTTATGGCGTTGGCTACCTACCTACCTTCTAAGGTACTAGGTTAGGGAGTCGTATCGGCGCCGTGGAAGTTAGTGTCTGACTACGTGGATTTTCCAATTCACCCGAATAAACCATTTCTTAACTCTCTTATATGGACTGCTGAGTGAATTATCCACGACTGTACTTAGATATTTACGTAACATAAAAATGCATTAAAAACCAACCAATCCTGCAATTTTATGGCTTGTTTGTAGTGACCTTCAACAACATCCCGTCACCAATCCCTTCGTAGCCCCTATATAGAAAAAAGGGGGGTGACATCGTACATTTGTCTAGTACACACTGTAATTTGCACACTGTCCGCCGATAACCGCCGCCGCCAACATGCATCGCTGAGTTGATTTCCGGCAAGGGACCACGACTATATCCTCAAGTGCGAAACTTGAGCACAAGCACATACCCCACTTATACCAGCAAACCAAAGCCTCCAAAAAAAGATCGAGATATACTTACTAGTGTATTGTAGGAATAGTTAGAGAAGAGCTGAACCAATCACATCGAAGCCAGCAATGTACTGTGCCTAGCTCGCGCTTGAGGACAATAAGCCAAGTTCCAACACTCGATTCGAAAGCGTCAGCTACCTACACAGCCCTGGGGAAGAGAGAGAGGGGGGGTCGCGACAAACTTTTTATTTTGTTCTCTTCTCTTCCCTTTCCTTTTTTTCCCTTTTCGTTACTTTTGGTTTCTTATCTTTTTGCAACCTCACCAGCAAACCTCATCAGCATGGCTACTACCTCCCCTCCCTACCACCCGCGCGTCGGCGTGGCATGTATAATCCGCGACGCGCAGGGGCGCTTCGTGATGGGCAAGCGGAAGGGCAGTCACGGAGCCGGTACGTCCATATCCTCTCCTCTCATCCCCTCCCCTCATCCCATCCCCTCATCCCATCCCCTCATCCCAGCCTTGTCCTACAAGCTCGTATCCCCGAAGTCATATCCGCCTTAGTTCAGGCACCTCCCAAGCTACTCGCTTCCACCAACGACGGCTGACAAAAGTAAAACGAAAAACAAACAGGCACGTGGCAGTTCCCCGGCGGACACCTGGAGATGGGCGAGTCGCTGCTAGCGTGCGCGGAGCGCGAGACTCTCGAGGAGACGGGGCTCCGCGTGAAGGCGCTCCGGGTCGCGGCCGCGACGAACTCGGTGTTCGACCCGCTGACGAAGCACTACGTCACCGTGTTCGTGGAGTGTAGGCGGGAGGACGAGGATGATCAGCCGAAGGTGCGTACTTAAGCTGTGTTACCTATCCCTGATTCTCCCTTTTTCTTATCCCTTTTTTTTTGGTTGGTTGGTTTATTTCCCCTACTTGGCAGTTATTTCTTGCTCTGGTAGTCGTGTAACAAGTATTGTTTTCTAGATGGGGAGAGCTAATAATACTACTGATGTAGCTGTTGGAGCCGGAGAAGTGCGAGAATTGGGACTGGATTAGTTGGGATCAGGTACTGCAGTGGTACAAACATCACGACGATAACGTGACGCCCGAATGGGCGCAGAATAAATGTTTTATGCCGATTATATCGCTAGTGGAGGATTATCCGGATTTCGGGTCTTCTACCGCATGAGGGAAGGAGAATAGAAAGGACTGACACCAATAACATGAAAAATTTGTAACATTCAGTAAGAATTGCATCGGATCGATAGTGTTGGCTCTTAGATTTCTTATATTGGTATGTTAGAGATATGCAGCGTCTATCTGAGTCTAGGTAGTACACAACATGCGGCATTTCACACTGTCTAATACTATAGCGTACTCTCAATCGCCGCTAACTCAGCCATCTGGGCCTCGATATTCTTCTTCGCGGCATCAGTAGGCTCTACGTAAGGCCGTCTCGGCTTCAACTTGTCCACGGCACCCTTGATACCCGCCGCCTTCGCCGTGTGAATCGCAGCCGCGTATTTCGTCACAGCGATGCCGGCTTTGCAAGGTTGCTCTGCCAGTGCGGCCTTTTGGTGCAAGGCCAACGCTTCCTGATACTTCCCTTCCTTGTACAGCTTGTAGATCTGCACGATGGTTTTCGGGAAGACGTTGCCGAACGCGGCGATGCATCCCGCGGAACCGACGCTTAGACCACCGATCAGGAAATCCGATTGTCCTCCGAAAGTCGCAAACCTCTCCGGCGGTAGTTCGGCAGCGAGACGCGTGATCTTAGCTACGGAGCCACAAGTCAACTTTACGCCGACTATATTGCTGTGAGTATTTGCGAGCTTTGCAATAGTAGCGGAGTCCAAATCGACGCCGTTACAGACGCCCGGGAAGTTGTACAGCACCACGGGGAGGGGGCTCTTGGTGGCGATCTCGGCGTAGAAATTGTCGATCACGGCTGGAGTGGTCGCCTTGCCGAAGTAAGCCGACGGTAGCACAAGCACGTAGTTAGCCCCGGCTTCCGCGGCGTCGGTGACGAACTCCAATACTTGGCGTGTGGAATGGCCGCCGCAGCCCGCCATGATGGGGTAGGACGGCCCGCACGCCTTGCGGGCTGTCTGGAGTAATGTCTTTCTCTCCTTGCGGGTGAGGAGGAACGTCTCGGCATTGGTGCCGAGGATGACGAGACCGGTAAGACCGGTCTTAGATAGGTACGAATAGTACGTGGCTTGAGAGTCCGTGTCCAGATCGTCCGTTTCGGGATCGAAGAATGTAACGGCTGGCGCCCAGATGCCGCTTGGAGGAACTTTAGGGAAAGACATTGTAAATATAATATAGTTTGATCTATAATATTAGGTACTTCTTCTATAAACTACCTACCCAAGGTAATTTTACATTGATACGTTTGAGTTGGAAGACGTTGGTCTCGCCCAAATAATATACCGGGTTAGGTGATAAACGCGGGGCCATTTCTCGCGCTCGTTCGGTGCATCTAAGCCGACCTCTTACGACCTCGGCGCCCTTTCCGTTGTCGGCATGACGACAAGCTCGTATTCGATAGCTATTTGACATAGTCACACCCGGTCTAAATAATCGCCATACCACATCTTGTCACCGGAAAGATATGATGGAAATACTCGGCTTAAGTAAATCGGAGTTTATAATTGTAAAATTTTTATTTTTTATAATGAATCTAACCAAGTTAACAAGCAAAGACACATAGTTGGAATGATACCTTAGAGATTCATTTCATTTTTAGTGCTTTTTCATATGGGGTTTATGCTTAATATTAGTTCTGAGACTTTTAGTTGTCATGACAGATAAATGATTAAGAGGAAGCGTCTTGGAGGGAATAGATAAGGACAGTGTTTGAGAATCCCGTCATTGAGAGTTGTTGTTTGTTCGATTTGTTCGTATTTCCTATCGGGTTGTAGATTTAGATTGCGGGCATTAAAAAATTTGGTAATCGGAACAAAAAAAATCGGGTAATAATCGGTAGACCCTTGCATAAATCCTTACATAATATTTCGTCCTAATACCTGCTAATGTCATTGGGCATTTGCATATGCACAATTGACGTACCGCGAAATGCGCCCTGAAGCTACAGCGCATCGCGTTTCGTTGTGTTGCGTTGCGTGCAGGTGCATTCCCTCAAGTCAAGTACCTAATTCCGTACAATACATGTTGAATGCTTACGTCAATTTAACGATGAAATCATTTTGTACTTGTTACACATCTACAACTTCGCTTTCTACACAAACCACTTCCAACATTTTGTCGCAATAAGGTCCATCAGAAATACCAAGATAGCTACCTGCTACCTAATTACCCATGGGCTGATTAGATTTCCCACAGTCCTCTCTCGACGAGGATCATGACGTTCCTGACTTATACATATTCAGCGGCCAAACGCCACCGGCTACATGTATAACCAACATGTATAACCAACATAAAATAATGAGGAGACTATTAGGTCGCCAGAATCCCGAATCTCCTGGTGACGGCAATCTCGGTGTCACCAGCTCGCCAGTTCCCCAGCTCTACCGACCTAATGCCTCCCAAGACGCCGTATATTCTTCCTCCGTACCCGTAGCCTGTCTCGACAGATCCGCTGATGGCCAGACTGCCGTGCTGGGCGGTCGCCATATACTGAAAACAATTCATTTCGATGGTCTTCAGATCAAGGAGGGTATTGACGTCCGTTCTATCATTACCGCGCAATTTGCAAACAAGAGCAATGCTGCGACAAGTTTAGTTTCCGACCAGCTTTCGATCAAGGATGTAAAGTTAGCCTCTAACCATGGCAACAATCTCACCTTATTCACGGCGTGCGCCAATGGAAAAATCTTTATGTACGATGTCAGCCGGTTGGGGCTGGGTGCTCCCCTGGAACCTATTCAGACTAGGGAAGATTCGCGACAGGTGAATACTCTCGATTTCAACCCGCATCGGGGAACGTGGCTGTTATCGGGAGGCCAGGATGGCACGGTACGCTGTTTCGATGTGAAAGCACCCATAACAGGACGAAGCGGTCCAACATTCCGCACCTTCCAGGCTTTCCGCTGCAATGCCGATGGGGTTAGCGATGTGAAGTGGTCGCCCAAGGACGGCATGGTTTTTGCTTGCGCCACAGATTCCGGGGTCGTCTTGAAATGGGACGTTCGAAAATACAATGCGCCTTTATTAAAAATAAATGCCCACGATACCCAGAAGGGAGCATCGTCTATCTCGTGGCATGCAGATGGGGATCATCTGATTAGCGGAGGGTTGGATAGCAAGTGCCATGTCTGGGACTTGTCCAAGAATGCGGAGAAGAGACAAAAGCCTAAGTGGACGATCAACGTCCCAGCTCCAGTTACCACCGTTGCGTGGCGACCCGGTCTGTGGTCCGCTACTGCACAAGGGCGCCGAGCCGCCCAGGTTGCCGTATCATACGATGAAGGCGGACGCGTTAAGAAGTACGGCATCAGCTCCGTGCATATATGGGATTTAGCACGCCCGACGATGCCGTACAAAGAAATCGACATATTTGAGAGTTCACCCAGCGCTCTGCTCTGGCATAACCAGGACCTACTGTGGACAGCAGGTCCCGATGGCTTTGCGCAATGCGACGTTGCATTCGCCCCCAAGGTAATGGATCGCCAACCCCTCTCAAATGTCGCTTTCTCTGCCAGGGGTGAGGCGCTTATGTTTCTTGAAGAGAGAGTGCATTTGCCTCGACCACGTCCGACAGTAATTGCACATAAAGGGTTGCCTACTTCGTCCCACAGTTCCAGTCCTACTGGGCAGATGCTGAGCATCAGTCGTAGCGACTCGGAAGAAGATGTAATCGGTAGCTTCCTCGGCACAAGACGCAATGTGCCCGAGAAGCGACGAGTAAACAATAAAACAGCTAGTACTTTAAGTACAACACCTCCATCTGGTCCTGGCGCAGAGGACCAAGTTATCCCGTTAGATCAAGCCATGAAGATAACAGGCCCGTATAAGCCGCACCAAATCATGGCAATTGGTCAAATACCCGCCGCCCCCAAGTTGCATATGTATAGTTATCTATCCCGACAATACCTTGAGATTATCAAGCAGGATCTTCCGCATGCCGAGGGCGATCGACCTTTAAATGAAAGGGTTGCAGGAATCCTCGAAAGGTATGCGCGAGCTTCCGAGAGTGTCAGTCAATTTCGACTCGCACAGACATGGCGAATATTATCGTATGCCATTGGTCTACTCTTAAGCCGCAGGTCTCAATACCACCTAAAGCAGCGCCAGGTGCGCCGTGAGAATTTATTATTGAATAACGATAAAGACATCCCGCATATTCGATTCGCATTTTCGAATGGGGACGCGTCCCCGCGAATAGGAATTGACGGGGAAGACACTCCGAGAAAGCCACCGTCCGTGTCATCTCTGGAGAGTCGTCACCCCATAGGGAAATCATTGCTCACTGAGGAGATAGATAGCGAGTCTAACTTACCTACACCTTTAGCTCTCCCTGTCAAAGAACACGCAAGCCACAGCCACGAACACGGTTCGAGCAAGATGCTGACTCCAGTTCTAGAAATGGAAAGTTTTAATTTGCCACCTTCTGTTCTCCCAGAGGGCCCTATCCCTCGAAAGAGACTTAATTCTAGCACTCTTTCAACCTTCAGCCAAGATAGCAAAATATCTAGTACGGAAGGATATGATTTCTACGACATGGAAGCCATCGAGAATATTCCAAAGGCGATCGATGTTCCGAAAAGGAGGGAACCACTGGGTCACGACTATACAGAACCAAACTCGCTGAACGCACCACGAAGACCCATCCGGCAGGATTCGGATGAGAATTATGCACAGTTATTCTGCTTGTCAGATACTAGCAGACAAACATCGTTTCTTACGTGTTCATCTAATAGTAGTGCCCATATCTCTCGGAGAGTGGAGCATATTAGTGAGAGTTTAGGGAAGGGAGAGGGGGAATACGGAAGTAGAATCCGAGGTAGACGTATCGAAGATTCCCCCGAAAGCGTGAAATATCCAATACGGCATTCTGTGGAAAGGCAGGATTCCGATCTCACAGATGACTTAAAAATATCTCAGGCAACTACGGACACGGTGGACACGATGGACACGATGGACACGATAGACAGCGATCTATTGCCAGAAATCGAGAGCAATCCCTCGAAACTTGCGACTACTAGATTACTCTTAGAGGCGAGGCTTGCCCGGGAGCGTACTATGGTAGATCAACCTCAAGACCACCCGTCACCCAATATCACCGAGACCGACTTTCTCCCTTGGCCAAATGATCCCCCTTACCCCCATCCATTGGAGGAGGATGTAAGCCCAAAAATCCCTATTCCACCTATAAACCCATACGATATATTGTCGCGTGCTCTCGCCTTCGAGTCGAAGCATTCTGCCCTCAACGCATCTGCCATGATACTACTCTTAAAGCCGCTCGTACCCGACGACGTTATCGATTGTTACCAAGCTGCAGCTATTCTAAGACAGTATCATATGCGTCTTATGAGTATGAAGCTGTTCGTTGAAGCCGCTTTGCTACGTAATCTTTGCGTTCAGGGTTGGCCCGATGGTCTCCAAACCTGGGGCGAGAATTATACTTCAATTTTTGCACCGGCGCAAGATCGTGTCTCAGCTGCTTTCACATGCTCGAAATGTCACAAGCCACGCGAAATTGACCGCTCGGATACGAAGGGCCCTGGAATATGGAAATGCGAACGTTGCCGCGCCGTGATGGCGCCTTGTGCTGTCTGCGGACATCGAGACGCAACGGCTGATCCTCTTCCACCGTTAACAATCTCGGAAGGCTTAATAGCAACCCCATCGCGTCCCTCCGAAGACCCGATACTATCCACATGGTGGTACTGTCCTGGCTGCTCTCATGGCGGCCATGCAAATTGTCTGCAGGATTGGCACGCCCCTATCGCACCCAAAATATTACCCTCTCCCGTCTCGTCTACATACCCATTGGACAGCCTCTTCCCCGAAACAAACAGTGACGGTTGTTGCCCCTTCGACGGCTGCGGCCATGCCTGTCTCCCCGGGCGCTGGCGCAACGAGAGCAACGCCGCACGCACAGAGGAATTAGGCCGCGTCGTCCGCGAACAGACGCGAAACTCCATCAGCGCCGGCTCCGGAACCGGACCCAAACGCGGCGGCACCAGGGAACGAGCATCCAGCAACGCCAATGCCTCTTCTATCGCGTCGACGCCGTCCGGCGCCATCCGCGGCGACTCTATCGAGGTCCCGCAGAGTAGAGCAGTCGACAGTGTGCGGGAGGCGCTGTCTACGCTCGAGGTCGCCAGCGCGAGCGCGAGCGGCGGCAGCGGGAGTACCGGCGGGATATTCGCGGGGATCTTGAGTTCGAGTCCCGCACGCACGCCCGTCGTGGGGAGTGCGAGTGGGCCGGAGCGGAGGAAGAGCGTTAAGTTTGCGGGGCCGCCGGAGGAGAGGAGGTGATAGGTAAATTAGGTACTGTTGAAGTTAGGTGTATATATGAATGTATGGGGAAGTAACTATCAACCTTAGGTAGTTGACGGAGATAGAGGGCGTTGCATTAGTATTGGTGTTGCATCAGCATTAAGCGGAGCATATGGTTGGCGGCGTAGGTGTAGGAGGGAGGTTGTGGTTTACTTATACCTTCAGGGGAAGACGATCGGACAGACACCTGTACCGGCTTCGAGTGCTTGGATAGGAGGTATATACCAGACCATGTACCTCCCTATGAATAATAACATTAACGGGGACAACTACCTAACCTACCTCCTATTGAAGCGTTTACTTTAATGATTCGAATGATTGTTCCAAGCGCAAGAGAAATAAGCCGGAGAAACGTACACTATCCCGATATATTAGGTAATATTAGCCCATGAGGGTAGTATACAATTACTACGTGTAGATGATTTCCCGTTTTTACTCCTATCTACTCTTGTTCTGTTTTTCCTGTTCTTTCCTTTCCTTTCCTTTTCTTTTCTTTTAGGGGGGGTATCTAAATTATCACTTCTCCCATTCTCTCTCCTTCCGTCTCTTCCTCTTTCCCTCCATCCATCCATCCACACTTCCCACCTCAACTTTTTCCGTCTCTCTGTCTGTCTGTCTGTCTGTCTGTCTGTCTGTCTCCCCTGACAAATCAAGCTCGCGCTCCAACATTCTCCCTCAACCCCTTCGTCCGTAAACTAAGCTTCGCACTCTCGTCAAACGGTAACCCGATACTCGCGTTTTCGGAGGATATCGCATCCGCAGCACTACTGCCACCACCACCACCATCAGCATTACTACTAGCATTACTCTCTCTACTAACCACCCTCCCCATCAACTGCTCCCTCCTCCCCCTCCCCCCTCCCCCCAAAGCCTCATTATCCGCGCTCCCAGGCCTACTCCCAGCCGTGCTCACGCTAGCGGCATCATCCGCCGCACCCACCGCCCTCCCTTTACTCTTCGTCCGGCCGGCCCACAGACCCCTGATGCCACCCCTCTTCCGTTCGGGCACCTCGTCGCGGCCGGCGCTGCACACGTACAGGAGGTACTTCAGGTTGGGCAGGGTGTGGCGGATGTCGACGACCTTGAGGCCGGCGGCGACGCACAGGGCCTCGACGTCCTTGTTCAGCAGGAACCAGGCGTAGTCGAAGCGGTACTGGGCGGTGGCGCCGCCGCGCGGGAACAGCGGGAACAGGCGCTGGGACTCGGGGAGGAGCGAGATGTCGTCGCGGACGGCGCTGCGGGAGCCGAGCGGGCGGACGGGGTACGGCAGCGGCACGCCGAGGTAGAACTGCAGAAGGTGCGCCAGGTGCGCGACGTACCCGAGCGCGGCGGACAGGGAGTCCTCGGCCGAGGACGAGGACGTCGGGTCGTAGTCCGTGTTGGGCAGGGGGACGCCGCAGATGCTGAAGGACAGGGGAGGGGAGCCGGGGGGCCCGGGCGCGATGGGGAAGATGCGCGCCAGGTCCTCGCATATGCGGCGGCGCTGGCCGTGGATGCTGTCCCGCGAGGAGGACAGGAGGCCGAGGGAGGCCGGGAGCTTGGCCTGCGCGTGCTTGACGTCCTCGGCGGCCTTGGCCTGGGCGGCGCGGCCCTCGCGGATGGCGGCGCGGCGGGCTTCGAGGGAGGCCTGGAGGTCGGCCTTGCGGGCCTGGGCGGCGCGGAGGGCGCGGGTCTGGGAAGCTAGGTATTCCGAGGCGAGCTGGGCGGCGTCTTGGGCTTTGGGGACGGCGTCGGGGGGGGAGCGCTCGAGGAGGGAGTTGATCTGGGCGGTGAGGGCTTCGCGCGTAGCGAGGGCGTCTTGGATGGAGTTGTCGAGGTTAGAGAGTTTCATGAGCGCATTGTAGGACGAGGTGGACAGGGGAGGAGCCTGTTTCGGCTCGGGGAGCTGGCTCTCGAGCCCGAAGCAGTATAGGCCATCGACGAGCTGGAATAGGAGACAGTTAGGCGGGAAGTCGTGGTTTCGTAAGCTCCCCAGATAGTTCAGAGAACGCAGGTCGACGTTTTCGGTCAATAGCAAGATCCACGATTGCTGCCTCTTGGCCCAAAGCTTGATCGTGAATTGGTGTCTTCTCGTTACCGTCGGGCCGGCTTGCGATAGGTCGAAGAAGCGGAAGTTGAAATTAACGGCACGCTCGCCTACTTCGCTGATGTACACGGGCTCTTCGCCATCGTGGCAGTGCAGGGAGAAAAACAGGTCAGCAGCTCTACTCTCGACGGTATACTCCAGCTGCTTCTGGCGCGTAACGGGACTTATGTTCGCGAGGGTGGTGCTGCGTCGCCGTAAATTGGCGCGGGTCTGTAGCAGACTCTCGGAGGAATGGGAATGGTGAAGCTGAGGTGGACCATCATAGTGAAGAGGCTGGGGCTTTGTTGAAGGGAGGTCGGCTTCGAGGTCGTCGGCAGCTCTGCTGTGGGGTCGGGTGAAGCTCAGGTTCCGAAGGTAAATGCCCTGAAGATGACGAAGGCGCCGGTTCTGAGGCAGCATTGTAGTTGTGCTGCTTGCTGCGTGGGCAGCGGGCGCATGAGGAAGGTCATGGGGTGTGTTCAAGGGTTTGGGCTTTGGGAAGTTTTGAAATTTTGGTGATGACGAATTAACAGCGATTAACCAAATAAAAAAAAAATGAAATTAACGAATGAAGTCCCTTGATTTGGTTCCATTGAGCTTTAATTACAGGTAGGTACCTTAGCTTGCGTACCTTGGCCGACCAGCTGCTTGACATGTGACAGCCAGGTGACCCATCATGCTAGCTGATTACTATGTAAGTGCTAGAAAGGTAGCAGCTGAATGCCTACCTACACTGTAACCGCCGTAGGGTCATATATTGTTACCAATTACAACACACTTTTCATACTTCTCATCCAATTCCACCCAATTCCACCCATACGCATATTGACCAAATTTACCAAAGTCTATACTCTAACTGGATGCATATGACATGTCAGCCCTTTATTGGATAAGGAGCCTATGAAAGCCCTACTAGAAGTCTACTTTCTATTCTATAGGTTCTCATAGCACAAATACAGCACGAAAGTGAGGCTTCGCTATTCTCAACGTACAATACCTACCTAACCTACCTCATCCAGTTGCTGTCGCTCAGCCCTGTTTCCAATGTCACCTTATTACCATCTCGTTGACAACATGTCTTGGGGGCCAAGAAATAAGCCTCGAGGCAGCATGGCGGTATATTTTAAATTCAACCTCAATCTCATAGATCCAAGCCTTTTCTGTAAGTCACGGCAATCTCAACGATTGCCTTTAGGGTGACGATGTTTCCGTTTACCGCAAAACCATATGTCACTTAGCCCAAATTCATATGGCCGAAGCACTCGGAGTTGCGGCCAGCGGCATTGCTGTTGCGCAAATTGCTGTTCAGGTTGGAGGCGCAGTAATTAAGCTTAAACAGCTTTGGGATGAAGTCAAGGATGTCCCCGATGATGTTGCTGATCTGATGGATCAGATTGACTGCCTGGACCCCGTTCTATGGGAAGCTGAGAACAGTTTCAATGGAAGTGGCTTGCCATCCACGTTTTGGGATGACCTTGCTTCCAGGTCAACCACTACGTACTGCCGCAAAGCTCTTCGAAACCTAACTACCATCGTCGACGACCTAAATAACCAAATTACTAATGTCAAGAAGGGTCGAAGGAGAATAACCGCCGTTAAAGTCTTACTACAGAAGGATCTTATCCAAAAATTAGAAAAACGACTCGAGAATGCAGTTCGGATGTTAATGTTAGCCCAACAATCCTACCTCGTGTAAGTAGCAGGAGACAAGCATCATATACCACAATGTAACTAAATACCGTTCAGCGCCCTCCAACGAGTGCAACCCGATGTCATCATTCAGAAATTCAACGCTCTTACATTCCCTCAAAGCCAACCTGAATCTCAAGTAGGCTCTGATTCCACATCAGAGACAGAGGTGCGAAGGGAATCCAAGAAACATCACGAAGAACCTAACACTGCCAGTATTACCACCAAGCCCCGATGGGTGCAAAGCACAAGGTGGACCAAGCCGAGTTATTTCGGCAGAATCTGTATCGAATCTTTTGCCTCGAGTCGCAAAATCATATTCCAATCGCCATTATGGCTCTCACGACAATCCTGGGAACTACATAGCATCAAAGCGCTTGGTGCTTGGCAGTGGAATCTAAGGTCCTATAGGCTCATACGTCGTAGCAGTGAGATTTGCAAATCAATCGAAGCCGGTTCCCTCAGAGACGTGCAGAAGCTCTTTGAAGCTGGACTTGCATCTCCATATGACCGAACTGGCAATGGATGGACTCTACGTCATGTGAGATTTACCTATGCCGGCTGCTTCGTGCCTTCGCCACTAATTTCGGACATTATTACAGTATGCGGTCTTTTACGCGAATTTTGAAATGACAAAATATCTTGTTGACATTGGTGCTAACCCTTTCGAACCTGATTATTTTTCTAATTATCCATCGACGAACATAAATCCTAGCAACTTGGGAACGCTTGGCTTTATAAAACAGGTCATTTCAGACACGTTGCTCGCTAGAAAACTTCTAGTTTATCCACACAGGAACACAGGTCATGTGGATCAAGAGAAGCAACTTCTCTCATGCAATTGCAGATACGGTTATGAGCACCATCACATTTACATGGCACTGCTCCCGTATCAATGCCCTTCTCATCGGAGTACGTCACTGTCTTCGCGAGTAATGCGGGCTAATTATATCCTAGAAAATCTAGGACCCATTAACGCGGTTAAACAGTGCTTGAACCAGATTGGACTACCAACCCTCAGGCTATCTTTTCTAACTCGGCCTATCCTATGATTATTTAAATAGCTCAGGGTTTAATGAGGGCTGCTCGGATAGATCTATACGGCGATCATCTACAAGAAGAAAGACACAAGGAATTTAACAACTATTTCACATTCGCAATCGACGTGATAAAAGGGACCCCCGACGTTCATATAACAGATCCAGTTATGTTGAGGGAGGGTGGTGGCAAATTAACTGCCCTACTATGCGCCGTATTTTCGGCAGTGATTTCATCTGTGCCTTTTGATCGATATTATTTTCATTTTGACTTCTCCAAGTTTGTCGCAAGTATAAGGAAGTGGCTCGAAGTGCTGGCACTGGCCGGCGTTGATCTAGAAGCATATGGTCAACGTGAATACGGCTTTCTCATAGGCAGCTGCAACCTAAGACATATCGAGCTTTTTTGGGATGATGTGTGTGAAAGTTCACTTCGTCCACTTCAAGTTTGGTCCAGAACCAGAGGATTGGGGATTTTATTTCAACGAACCCACGGATGAATTCGCTGGCAATTTCTGGAACCTTGTCCGAGACTCGCCCCTTAATATACCGGGAGCCTGGGTTGAGGATGAGGATGAGGCTTACGACTTCTTTTAATCGGATTATATTACCGTCGAAACCAGCTAGGCATGCTGCTATATCTCCTAGTCGTTTTAACCAACAAAAAGGTCTATGGAATTCCACACCTTATTATTACAACGATGGCTGTCCGTCCTTGCTAGTCTGCCGACTTCGCTTGCGGACCTTGGGTGGCCTCGCCTCTCTCGGGTTCATCTCGGACTGGACCCGTCGTCTTAGCTTCGTACTTCAACACCATACATATCTTAGCTATTTTCATCACATGGTCGGCTAAATTGGATAGGAGAAAATGGAGGGATATACGTACGCTTTACGCAGATACTCGGCTTGCTCCTCTGGGGATACTTCGTCATTCCGCCCCGAAGTCTCAATAATTTCCAACAGCGAGCGGAGTTGCTCGGCGGGCGAAGACACATCGGAGCTTCTTGATGGACCTTGATCTATATTTGGAGTTTGGCGCTGCGCGAGGTCTAGGTGTAACGATGATATTGTTGAGGTTTGGCCACATTTCATTACACCATTCAGTGTCTCAGGGCATAGTGGTGGACTTTGTGACCCAAAGTTGGACTGGATGTCTTCGGCTTTCATTCCCAGAGCGAGTCTCTCATGTCCCTGTACGTCCCGGCGATACCTTGTGAGCGGGGATAGCCCGATTCCCGAGCCTGGTTGCACATGCTTTCCTATTGCTATAAGGGTATCGCAGGTTAATGCAGATACAACACTTGTATTATCTGTTTCAGCAACACTATCGTGGTGGTTGTCCGACTGCGCCAGCCGAGAACTCGAGTCTAGCCTTAGGTCGCTGTGCGATAATGCTCGAAACGAAAGAACAGGATAAGTATAACTACGATGGAAGTTAGCAAAAAGGTTTTACGTGCTAGTCAAAAAGGACATCTAGATCCTGTCTTACTGCACTTGTCCGTCGTCACCCAAGCTTATGACGGTATCACCAGGGGAATGGTCACGGAAGCACCGCTCACTTCGTACAGCGATATGGCTCTCCCCCCAAATGCCCTCGTACTCAATATCGTCACAATCGGCCGCGGTCATTTTTTTCACAAATGATATATGATGATAAATGATAAATAAGATATAGGAAAAGATATCAAAACATCCTGTTTAAACGCGACTTCGAGTTTCCTTTTAATACCCCAAGTAAATTCAGAAGACCCAGTCTGCACTTGGTGTGCGAGTGCGAGGGGTAGCAGCCATCGACCCAAAACGTGGCTCATAGGTTCTCACGGTATCTGGTTCCTTAACATGAAGAACTTAAGCCGCGACCCAACCTGCTGGGAATAGGTGGGACTTGTCACTACTAGTCCTGTTGCCTGTTCTCTTTAAGGGAACCCGGCGGTCTGGGTAGATTGTGCAGCAAGCGGAACGGTCCTCCGGGAACAAAGGGGGACAAACCCATCCAGTTGGATACGGCAGAACGTCCCCGGGGTCACATTGCATGAAACATTACGACCAGGGGTGGGTAGTATATCAGAACCAAACTCCATCCAATCAACCCCCTCGTTCGGTTGATATGCAGGCCTCGCCTTAGCGACATGAGCTTTTTCCGTGCGCACCCAAGTAGTCGGTAACTTGCGAACCCGGTGATTTGGTATTCCTTCCCCTTACGCCTTATTCAGCATTTGCCGGTTCGTTCTTCGCTGCCTTCTTTTGATACATTACCAGGTATATACAAGATGGCGCAAAGAGCGGTGACACCGCCCGTCGGTGTTAGGCAAAAGGGCAACAAGAACAATACTACCCTCTAACCCTTTCCATCTCCCCATATCATGCAAAGGTATGCTTAATTGACAGCGCGGTCGTGCATGAACTCGCTTCACGGTCAAGGCTTGCGTTGTGTAACCAACGTTTCTTCGTGGTACCTGGTGATAGTCCGAGATCTTTTTTGTTCCGTCTTCTTGCTTCTGCTTTAGTTTGATTTTGATTTCTATTTTTTTTTTTTTTTTCATCTTTCCTTTCCTTAATACCAGGTAGCTAATTCGAAATGGCGGTATGCTATATTATATTTAAAAAACTCTTTTAGAGACATACAAGACAATAAACAGCATTTCGAGGCAGATCACGATGTTCTAGCTCGTCACTATCGTCACCATCTCCAAATCCGTACCTATATACATACATGGCATGACAAAAACCTGCAATGCAATGAATAAGCACAACCAAATCCATTTCCATCCCTACCCCCTTGTCCTTCCCAATCCCGCGGTACCGACAACTGGGTTCGCCTCTACGTCCCGTAACCACGATCCGGGATCCCCCCGCCTGTCGTGCGACATTCATATCTGCCGCCGCAGACCTGCAGGGCGTCAGGTAGGTGTGATGCGCCGCGCTGCCGCGGAGAAGGTTATTGTTATGTATGTGACGAGAAAAAAAAAAGTGTAACCCAATCCCCAAAAAAGTACAGGTTTCCCGATACCCCTGGCGGTCAAAGTCAGTAAGTCCTACATCTACCTAGGGACCTACCTCTAACGTATTTAATCTAATAGATACGGACTTTTCCAAACAAGAAAGTGCAGTTATCATTTTCCCGATCGAGACACAGACTGCTGCGCTGTCCGTAGGGAAAAGTATCAGGTAGCGCTATCGAAAATTGTTTCCTCTCCGGGGATAGACGGGCTGGGCTGGTTAGATGGTTTTAAATGGGTTGGATGGGCTCGCTTATTATACACTACAATACACATATCCTACATTACTCATGTCTCCATTCATGTCAACCAACCAACCATTGCTGAACATTAGGAAACTACCTACCAGGTACCTAGGTAAGTTGACAACTTTATCTAACAACTTCCTAGAGGAATATAGGAGGTACCTACATATCTTCTAACCCTAAGCACGTCACATCCTAAAAAGAAACGGTAAATATTTCCTTGAACAATGACCTACCCCTTAGGCAACGCGGAGGAAACCAGCCTGGGCTCGGACCCCTGTTCACCAAGAAGCCAAGTAACCAAACCAAACCATGCTGTCGATCAGCAGCTATGACCAATGTCCTAACACATGACTTGCGCCCGACTACTATGTACGGTTTACTTTTCTCTCATCGGATCCTGGATTCGAAGAGGTAATGTGGCCTCATGTTGAATAACGCTGTTGTTGCATACATCCCGTGCGCTCCAGCAAGGATCTGGATACCTATCACAAGAATAAAACAAAAGAATAAAAAGAAAAAAAGACTCCGAACTGATAAGACTCCGAAAGCACACTCTAGCTGATCAACAGTTCAAGGACAAGTACAAAACGAGGACGACGCTGTATTCCGAGCGCTCATAACCCGTGCAAGTGAGGTAGTCAGTCAATCTTTCTTATTAGCCCCAACGAACCTTATAACCCTATCGCATATTTCTTGCAGGATACCAAAACTTCAATGTTATCCCAGCATCGCGCCACCAAACTATGTCCCTACCTACCTACCTACCTACTTACTTACTTACCTTAGGTACCTCTTACTCTAAATTATCACTTATCCCTCGATACACACGCACGCGTCTAAGACCTCTATACGCTAGCTGCCACAAGGAATGCAGACATATGGTTGTCATGCGACAATTGCCGCCCTTCGAAAAAATGACGACGCCCTCGTCGTAAACACTGCCAGGTAAACACATGATGTCGTGAAGTTTTCCTGATGTCCTAATTCCAAATCATACAATATCATATTGCTTAGTGTCGTCTTAAACTAAAAATCTGCCAATGTAAGACTCGAGTATCCTCAACGAACAGATTCTCTGTAATTCGTCCGCAGCTAGGAAGGATTATTATAGCAAAGTCATAGTTATTTGTCAGCTCACCTGCCAGAAAGATCCCGTGATGTATGTCGTACGTAGAGTCAGTACTAGAGGCAGTAGCACGTAGAGTATCAAGTATGCAGTGTAGAGTAGTGATATATTAGCGCTTGCCCGTTGAAGCACCTTCGAGGGAGCAGCGCGCTCCTTATATACACCTATCCTAGTGGGCCTCATGTCCCAGTGCCTGTAGAAGATCAGAATCTCCCAGTAAAGATGGTTGTTTTTTTCTAAAACTGAACTACACCCCTAGGTTAATAACGCCGGGGTCTTTCCCTGAGTTATTAGCGACTGCTATGTAAGGTGGGTTAACCCCACCTCAGTGTGCGAGTCACAAGACTACCACCACATAATGATGTTGGGTATTCGTGCACCATTTCCAGCAAATCTTCAACACATATAGCCGGTATCATCAATCGTCGTCGCCCGTCATCTGCGACATGGTATGTATGCCCTATACCCCTGACATCGCCTCCATCTATAAATTGTTGCAGTGAGAAGAAAACAAATGTGAATAAACCGTACGAACACCAGTGATTGGGTCCTGCACCTAGTCAAGGGTTACGAGAATAAGGTGGGTCCTATAGTATCCGGGCACGATGTCAAAGGCTAAAGGCCAAAGACAATAGCGTAATTGGACGCTTGGCAGTTAGCGAATATGAAATCGCCGGATATCATTCCGCTTTGGTATGGAATATTCAGTCCCAAGTTTACCAAGGTTCTTCGCGGAGTAGGACCCAGTTGTCAACGTAGGTAGATTATATGTGGGTGGCATTGTCCGTTGTCGAATCCCTACATGAACTATCAAACGTTCTTCGAGGTCCATGTCGAGGGTTATTGCCAAGCAATTATGGTGCGGTACGGTTATGATAGTTATTGTTGTCTTGTTCTAGAATGTGTGACTATCTAGGAATATGGAACATGGGATAAGTAATGTGTGTGCCCCGCTCTATAATGTGGGTCTAGGTCACTATCATGTGACAGTTTCCCTGTCGACGGGCCCGGAACGGGAGGAGACGCTTCGCTTGCTGCCCCGGCAGTTTCTCAGGTGGATATCGAATCATGCGTCCTCGATGCGGTTTTAGGTACCTAAGGCATTCCAAACTTTGATCGACATCATAGGCCAACCTCGAAAGGACGACTCTCCCGGGTTTGAGCCGAGTAAAGCACCGTTCCCAGGTGGAACGTTGAACATGGTAACAGGTTGCTTTATAGGTAGCTTAGTTTATACCAGCATTTGTATTATATGTAAGCATCATGATTTTGGGATAGGTCGACTGAATAGGACTGAATAGATTGCAATAAACCAAGCTATTGCTTAGCAGATATGGTGTAGGTTGTTGGCGACGTCTGAGTTGTCAAGGCAAACTGCCTTAGGTACCTTTTCGATCTCCGTCCTCTATCACCGTTCTCTGTCTTTTAGTGTTTGGTTGACATCGTGCTGAAGGATATCTTGATAGTTAATTGCTAGTTGATAAGTCGTAAGCGAAAGAGTTATCGTGGATTATGATAGACTCTGTGTTGTAAATATTCTGTTGTGTTAAGGAGTCAAAGAGGGATGACCGTATTGATTTGAGTTGTGGAAAAGACAATTTGGAAAAAGGTAGTTACGTGTTATCCATGACCTAGTGAAATAAAGGCAACCGTAGTCCCGTGCGTAAGTGCTTGGAATGGTGAGGGGTGCTTATCATTTAAGCTGTAGGGCTACCTAGAGCAAGCGCGTTCCTTGGAAGCACCTAACAAGTCATGTTTGAAAAATGAAGGTATAGATGGAAGAAAAGAAGTTGCACCTTTAAAGTTAAATAGACAGGTACCTAGGGTAGGTACCCACCTCTTAACTTCCATTTCTACGTAGGTTAGGTACCTCGTATGTGCCTGCCTTACTTTACAAGAAAGTGTAATTAATACTCAGCGAAGGTTTGAACTGGGTTTGCGACCAAGGGGGGAAGCGACATTGTTAAAGTCTTTCGACTTACAAATATCTTTTCTTCCTTTACCTTTCACTCGGATTCTTTTTTTTTTTTTTTTTTTCTTTTTACCCAAACAACTTGTCTAACTTCATGTATTCTTCGGCACACCTAATTATTTCTACGCCGCTATTTATCACTCCTTTCTATCCAAGCATCCAAATTACCAAGTTTCAAGACGCCTTTTCAGTCTGAGCTATGCCCTCCCAGCCAGCTTTCAGAGTTACCTTATACTTCTATTCTTAATAAATTGCGTGGCAGAAAACTCACAATACATTAAACCCTGCCGTACCTAGCCTCTTCTCTCTCTTGCTAGTTACCTAGTAATAGGGAATACCTATTAGGCTTCAGCCAAAAAGACTTGCCGCCGCCCGATCTTTCCATCATTCCATATTATCAACTACACATCAGGTTTCGAAAGACATGACAAGAGCTACGTCATATTCTTCGCCTTCAACAACAAAATTTCAACATCTTTACTGAATAAATTCGTTTATATATATGTTTAGAAAAAAGAAAAAAACAAAAAACAACTTTTAGCAGTCTCGAAAACACTGAGGTTTTCCGCAAACCTGATAGGATGCCAAAAATTGGCTATGTCCGTGCTGGTGGAGATTATCTCCCTGTTAGCAGTCCCTTAGTGAAAGAGATGTCTCACGAGGATGCCTCTAGTTCAATTATAATTGGGCCAGTACAGATCCGATAAGATGAAGAATCTTTACCAGGTTCACTTAGGATGCAAGCATTCCGCCCACAGGATCGGTTCCTCTGAGCTTCCGGAGCCGCAGAACACTGACCGCAACCATTACATGAACAAGACCAATATGCAAGGAGACAGATGACGAGAACATGCCGAGCCTACGGCATGGACGATAAGGTCCAGCAAATGTGGCAGATCTTTAACACCATAGACGCTGAATTGAGACATGATGTACCCCAGCCCAGGGCGACTTGGACGATCATCGAATACATCACGAACCTCAAGGAAACGCCAACGTCATGCAGTTGTGCAATAGGCACCCGGACCGACCGTGTCTTATGCGCTGTTTGAAGCTGGACTTATATTCTGTGATCGTCGGGGAATGCCAAGCGATGCCGGGCAGCCTGCCCGGAGGACGGAATATACCTCCATCCGTTGGCAAAATACGTTACAGGGTAGACTCAGAAACATTATGATAAGCAATGGGAGAGCGGCCGTGAGAACTATGTGGTACAAGCGCAGATATACCGCACACGTCGAGAACCCCATCTGGAGATACTTGCCCTCGGCGCTAGGCGAAGCTTACGCCATATACATACCGACAAGGGTCTTTGGATGATACAGACGACTACTACGGTAGCGCCCCCAGAGGGTTACACGGTTGACTAGCCCATCTTAGGCAGGATGGCTCCGTGGCGCGCTCCACGATCCAGTTTCCTCCGCATCTGTACGACAATACGGATCGTAAGGCTCTCTACTAAACATCTTGCTTACCGGAGACAATCCATGGAGATCCTGAAAGAGATTGCGAGCTCGCATTCGAGTTTCTCTAGAAGCGGATGGTGTCAGGAGTCTAATTTGAGACTCTTTGGAACAAATGACTTATTCTGTATATAGCTTTGGCTTCAAAGCAACTGTAGTTAGAGTTCCTTGCGGAACAACGAAGTTGTTTTACCTACCATATGCTCTGCGATGTGACAGATGGGCTTGGCGTTTCAGAGATAAAATTAACAGGGTATTCCGCGGATAAGGAAGGTTGTTGTCCAGTAGGTTGGTCAGACGAATTGTGAGGTGACGAGGTAATGGGAAAAGCAGTAGGAAAAGTACATCCTTGAGAGGGTGAACCGGAGGATCGGTGAGGATTACCCCAGGATCTGCCTTTTCTACCTCGCCAGATACGAAAATGACGACGACACTACGTAACCTACCTAGGTATATAAAGTTATCTCAAGAAGATGCCGCAAAACTCTAGGGGCAGCTGGAGGACAAGATCGACACAGACAAAAATATGCTGAGAGGCACTTTACTACCATTTAAAGCCCGAATTCTAACCTTGTATTTCATTGCGATGGTGTTGGGAGCCTCTTCTATAGAGTATCAGGTACCTAGCACCCCTGTATCTACTATCCTAACTTATGTCTCCAGCACTTTTTATTTTAAATGTATGGCCACATGTATGGCGTGAAAAAGCATGGTGCACTGCAGGTAAACAGTACTATAGGCATTTACCTCTTAGATAAGTTACCTAATTGGTTTATACCGACCTTCATGATTGGTTAGATGGGATATGCATCTACGAAGTATTTTACAACTTTTCACGAATGAAAGGTTTGCTATTAACTTTTTCTAGGCGGTTAGAATAAGTATACATAATTTCGAATTGGTTACTATCTGCTCGAGTAGGTAAAGAAGATAAAGTTAAGGTTGGCTGGTATGACTTTAACTTGTGTTTAATCGTCGGGTAGACCCGTCGTAATGTTAGGTATGCGACCTTGGGGGTTCTCGTGCGTCATGTATTAGATACTTTCCTTGAGGTATTAATAGAATTCTTCCGTTGGGTGGTTCTAGTAGGTATCAAATAAATAAATACGTGGTACTTGGGCAGCAGAGTCGAGCCGTTATGAGGTTTTACTAATTACCGAGACGTATTATGCGTGAAGATTTTACAATTTGCGTCACCGAGATCCGTCGGGGTAGGTAAATGCCCGATTTCGTAAGAGGCGGTGACAGATTAGGCTTTATCATTCTTTAGCTTCATCGAGCGAGGATCGAGAAACAAAAGGGCATTCTTTTTTTTTTTCCCCTGTTTTCAGCTACATAAGTACATGCAGATAGAGAGACAGATCCATGGCGGGGGTATGGGCATACCCTAATACTGCTAGCCCTAGCGCCGATCCAAGAAGGTAGGTACCTAACATAAAAACCCCGCGACTTGAAGACAAAGCAAAGAGACGTTCCAGTCGTTGGTAACACTGCAAAGTGCAACAGCCGGAGCCTTTATATTGCTTTCGTAGAAATATGATACTATGTATGGCAATTCGCAATTTTGAATGGTAAAAGTTCCGTGTATGCTTCGTTGCTTTTAAAGATGCCTAAATTACATAGGTACCATAGCGGCAGCGGGGGTTTTTATTAAACGGTTCTAAAAACGTAAAACCATTCCTGTTAAAACCTGCACTCTTTCAGATTCAACGTTTCTAGTAAATAAAACGATTCTGGAATCCTAGAACGGTTCTATATTAAGATAAGCCTTAAAAAAAAACTGCTGCCCCCAGTGGGGCTCGAACCCACTACCTTTGGGCTTTTTTTCGTTTTTTTCTTATTAAGTTACTTTTATTTACTTTATTATTTTAAGTTTACGGTACTTACCATTAAATTAAATGGGGATTAATTTAAGCTTTATTTGATTTTTACTTTTATAAATTTAATATAATTAAAAATTTCTTAATTGCGTAATTATTTGCAATTCGATTAATTTAATAATATAATTAACACGATTAATGGTTATATAACACATGTACGTACTTTATTGCAGTACGTATTTAATAGAAAAAAGTACTTATGTATTTTAAATTATATAAAAATAAGTTTTTTTTCGTCTTTTTTTAATTTACTTTTCTTTTTTAAATATTAATAATATATTAATCTTACTTTATTATTATTTATTTTTATTATTATTTACTTTTATATTATATATATTTTTATTAATATTAATTAATATTATTAAAAGTTTAATAATATAAATTAATAAAGTTAAAAAAATTATTATTATAATAATATACGTAATATTAATATACTTTCTTTTATTAAATAAATAAATTTATTATTTATAATAAATTATTAATTTATTTTATTATTTAATTTATTTAAGTTTTTTATTATTTACTGTAATTTAAACTTATTATTATTATTAATTAAATTTTTATTTTACGTATAATATTTTTATTTTATAATGTTTTAATTAAAAAACTTAATGTAAATATAAACTTATATTATAATAATTAACTTAATTAAAATAAAAAATATAAATAAATTATAAGTTTTAATAAATTATATTTTTAATTAAATAATTTTTATATAATATTTTAATTATATAATTATATAATAAAAATTAATTAATTTTTAAATAATTACTTTTAAGCAAAAAGTAATTTAAATATTTAAAAAAAATAATAAATAAATATTAAAATTAATTTTAAAACTTTATAATAATAAATTTTATAAATATATTAAAATTATTATAATTAATATTTCGAATTATATTAATATAATAAAACATTTACATAAAATAATATAATATTAATTATGTAAAAATACTTATTAATTTTATATTATTATATAATTTATTAATATAAAATTTAAATAAATTAAAAATAATTAAATATATTAATATAAAAAATATTAATATATAATATTAAATAAAGATTAATTTATTTAAATATATAAGTATTTATATGTATTTATATTATATTATAATAATAATTAATAATTTATAACTTTTAAACGTTAATATATATAAAATAATATTTAATACAATTTATTATTCTAATTAAATAACCCTTTTTTTATTTACTAAAATTAATTTTATAAAAAGTTAAATATAATTTAATTATATTAAATTAATATTTAACATTTATAATATTATTATATTTAAATAATAAAAAAGGTTTAAATCTTTTATTAAATAATAATAAAATTATATTATTTTTATTATCGTTTTTATCGTTTTAAGCTTTTTTTTATTAATTATTTTAATAATTTTCTTTATTTTTTCTTTAATTTAAAATAATTTTAATTAAAGCTACATTATTTATTAATATTATATTTTGCTTAAATAATTTATTTAATAAATGCTTTAAAAATAATAAATTATATATAATTTATAAAAACGAAAAAATATTATTAAAATTAATATTTATATTATATTTAATTAATAATAATATTAATTAAAAAACTATTAAAATATAATAATAATAAATTTTAATTTTTAAGTAAATAGTACGGGTTAAATGTTAATAAATGTTAAAATATTTATTAAAAAAGCTTAAAATTTTTTTCCTTTATATAAGTTAAATATAAAATTTAAATTATTAATTAAAAAAACTTAAATAAATGATTAAATATATAATAGTTTAAATAAATTTGTTATTTTTTTATTATATATATTTATTCGTTATTTAAAATTCTTTTAAATCTCGTTAATCTTTTAAATTTTAAGCATCTCCTTAAGATCCATCAGATCCATAAGATCCACTAGATCCATACGATTTATCCGATATTCAACCGTACTGTTGTTGGTTGTTACCCCGCTTCCATACTTGGTATGGACTCATCGGCTGTTGGTTCGTAACACGTAGAAGCTTTCGAAGGCCCGAACCCCACAATCCCCGGGCTTACCTACTTTAAACTCCGGGGTAATGTGGGTTAACGTATATGACATTATATCTTGATACTTATCCCTAAATATTTAAGCTGTGCTAAAATGACGTATCGAAAAAGACATCTTATATCCAATTCACAATACTGACTGTCCGCTAAAAGCTCTGGCACGTGGAATATGTATTGTACTTGTAGGTAAGGTACCAGGTAAGTTTGTGTCTAAGTTCGGGCGTCATTGGGGTTGAAAGGCGTATTTTCAAGCTTTTTGGGGCGGGCCGTTGACGAACGCCCGGGTTGTGAAGAAACAAAGCTTAGACTCCAAATCAGCATCTCCTTACGTAACATATTCCGTGCTACCGTAGCGCGTCATCCCGTAAGTACCACACGGGTGCCCAGGTGGTCTTGTCCAATCGTTCCCCTCCGTCGGGTAGTACGAAATACGCCCTGCTACATGTAGTGAATGCAACGCCGTGTTTTAGGTGGTCCCGAAGTTCCCTAGTAATCCCTACATGTAACATGTACCTTGGTATTTTGAGGTTACCTCGAAGGATTCCGGGAATTCTGTATATACCTTAGGCACATTGTACTAGTGCTGTCTACGTAAACTCGACGGCGCACCCCAAAGGGGTGCTGCGCTTTAATTAAGGAAACGGGCAAGTAACAGGGATCGGAATAACTTCTTACTGGTATTTGGAGTCTGGTACGCTAGCTTAATTACTGCCCGATTTCCTAATCAAAGCGCAGCACCCCTTTGGGGTGCGCCGTCGAGTTTACGTAGACAGCACTAGTAATCAAATACCCCAAATTTTAAGTTTGATGACCTTTAACAAGTGTAGAGCTAGCGCGAAAAGCTGAGCTTACTGGAGCAAGGTGAGATAAGTACATGGTTAATAACTCACTAACAGGTATACGTAGGCTAGGTAGGTAGGTAGGCACCTCTTACCTGGAGTAATCAAGCCACTATCTGGTGTCCGACCATTTAAACTTCGCGTGATGCCCCCCCTGAAACGCAGCTTCATCATACTAATCTACACTCTTATCCAAGTTAACACTCTCAGCATTCTTCATTATTCTACCTATTCTCAAAGAATAACAAAAAATAAAAACAACATACGTCGTACTTAAATACCCTCCCTAGATAGATTAAGTTAGGTTATCTATCAACTATCGCTGATGGAGCACGACTTATATTCTCCCGTTTAATCTTTAAATACTGCTCTGTTCGCTGCCCACCAAAATCTACTCTTTTGCTACTTATCACTTACCACTTAAGTGTCGCTTACCTACTACATTTTCATATATTTTGGGCTTACTTGACGACATTCTGCTACCCTATCATGTTGAAACCAAATCGCATCGATGCCCTATCCGGTCATTCGGATGGGGATGGTACCGAATCACCTCCTGGCTATTTTGAAGGAAATAATGGGGAATCCCCTGGTCAAGCTAGGACATCTGGAGTTGACGAGTTGAATACTGATTTCGGTCATATTTTGAATCTTAGCCCTGATACTGTTGGCGCATCCCCTGGGGCTTTAAAGATAACACCTGACATGTGTTTGGCACATCTTAGGTTACTCACAGCCTTCCAAACTTTAAAGGAGGATGTCGGTTTTACAGACGGAATTTGGGGTCTCTTCGATAACCAAGTTCTTTCGCAACAGAAGAAATCAAAAGCCGTCGAAAATGGACGTAAACTGGAAGAAGAGACCGTGCAGCGCTTGGCTAGACTCCATGAGAAACGATGGGCTCTTTTCGTCGCGAGAGCTGTGGATCGGTATGAGACGTGGTGGAATACCCTTTCAAAGAAACATCTTACCGAGGAACATATGCAGGGCAATTATAGTGGCGAGTTCGGTCCAACGATATACGGCACGTTTATAACTAAAGGGACACCACTTCAGTGGGCGGAGCATATACTTCCGCCATTGGGTACGTCTGATCTACTATAATTCTATATAATCTTTAAGTATCACTGACCCTTACAGATGTCTTAATGGTGTGGCATGCCCACATGCTCAATCCTAGAACATATCTTGAGGATTCTATACTATACTGTCTAAATGGCTTATGGACAGCCGGAATGCCTTGGCATCTCATCGACGATGCGATTGATGCTGATTTCAACTATAACGTCTCACTGGAATGTAAAGAAGCGTGGGAAAATCTTATAGGACTCAAGTGGGACAATGTCGATGACCCAATGGTTAAACTCCTCAAATGTCCCAGTTGCTCTGATAATCTTGAGATACCATGGACCATGTGTGGGCTACCTGGAGACTACGCCGACGAAGACCCCGGTCTTCTCGGAGAAGGTTATGGAGATGGAAACTTCGATTACAAGTGTGACGGGTGCGGAAGACTGATTACCAGAGAATTCCTCGAGGCGGCTAGATTCATCAAAGACTCGGAGAGACTGCTCTCTCACAATCGACCAATGCCGGGTACGATATTAGATAACGAGATGGGATTACCAAAGGAAGTTCCTGATAACAGGCGACAGGAACGGACTTTTCCAAATAGGATTATCAAGTTTCACCTCCGTAGCGAATTGCTACTACTAACTAGCCCTCAACGGACCCCAGCACCGACAATGAACGACGTCCGTGTTCTCATCGAGCGTACGTTGAGTAACAGCAGCGCGATCAAGCAGATAGAGGGGGCAACGGGACGCGAGTTGGCTAAAAGCTATCGTCTCGGCAAAGATGCGAAAGCACACACTCGAATAATGATGTCGCGATACTGGGGAAACCCATCCTCTTTTTCTCTGGATCTTGGGGGTGCCGTACTCCGGCAAGGCATATTTGTAGAGAAGATGAACAAGGTACCGGCCTACCCAATACTTATACTAGCTCTAAGGTCGAAGTATGTATTTCTAGAAGATTGTCAACTTACCATATTTGCAGATCGACTGGCTACACAGCCCGGCGGCCCGAGAAACAATGACGCGACTTATTAGGAAATACAAGCGCTTCATTGATATCATGGCCCGAAATCCCACGAAAACAGCCGTGCCAACCCTCGACGTCGATCTAGCATGGCACACGCACCAGCTCAGCCCTCCTCTATACGCTAAATACGTGTTTAACAAGACGGGCCGCCTGATTGACCATGACGATAAGATTGACGAGGACAAGCTGTCGAGGGCTTTCGAGTGGACGAGCAAGGAGTACCAGGAGCACTACGACGAAGTGTACTCCGAGTGCACGTGTTGGTACTGCGAGTCGATCCGCGCTTCGCATGTGTCCTCGCTCGGTAGCAAGCTGCATATATCGAAAAACGAGAAAAGTACGTCCACCCCCTCCCCTTCCCCCTTAACCCCCTCTCTGCCTCCCCGTCTCATTGGGAAGTATTACTACAATCGTAGACGACATTACCTAACTTCCATAACTTACTTACCTCTCCCCTCTCCACTCTTTTATAGTCTCCGACACATTCCACAAATCCGGCAAGGCGGCGCTCTGCCCACCCGACAGCAGCGCGCACATCTCAGCGCACAACTCGGTAAAATTTACCGAGCTCAACATGGGCCGCGAGGCCGTCCGCCGTCGCATCCACGACGCGCACCAGCAGCACCTCGACCGGAACTACGAGCGCGCGCGGAAGCGCGCCCAGAAGCGGGGCCACGAGATCCCGCCCCGAGAGGAGTACTACCAGACGTATTGGGGCTACCCCTATATGATGTACGGGCCCTACGTGTACCCCGTGTACTTCGCTAACGGGTATTACCCCGGCGGAGACCCGGGGACAGCGGTCGCGGGGCAGGGCGCGCAGGGAGGGTGTGCGGTGGGCGCGTGTGGTGGGGGCGGGGGGTGTGGAGGGGGAGGTGGTGGTGTGAGTATTATATTTGCTACTTCCTATCCTCGTCTAGCCCATCTAGTTCTTGTTCCCTTTACTATCCCATCTTATAGTATCATACTAACTAAATCTCTTTCCTTTATCTAGTGCGGAACCTCAGGCTCGGCTTGTGGCGGCGGCGGCGGCTGCGGGGGAGGATGTGGTGGCGGTGGTGGAGGAGGAGGAGGAGGCGGATGCGTAAGTACAAAACCACAAAACCCACCCTCCTTGCTTTTGGAATAAGATACCTTCTTACATGATTTTTTTTTTGCGTGCAGTGAGCGTTCTCGTGCATGCGGTTACAGACCGACTAACAGCGGTGGACAGAGCGGAGGTGGGGGTGGTAGCGGGGGAAGGGGGTGGTAGGGCAGGGTACTGGCTGCTACATTTACTTTTCCTATTGTGCATGATTTTTTTTAAAAAAAAAGAAAAAAAAAAAGTGACGTTATGCAATGGGATGCTAGGAAGACAGGCAGCCTGGAGTTCAGGAAGGGGGTGATATGTGTGGTGAGCACTTGGCGCAGGGGCGTGCTTTGAGATACCTATTTCGCGTGTGTGGTCTGGTCGGTATGGATGGCGTTGAAGGGTTGTCTGCGCGAATTATTATTTTTGAATGGCAATCTGACAATACGATTTATGAGGTGAACTAAAATATGCTTGTCCTTAGACGAAGATAGGGGTTTAAGGGGTTTGTGGCGTACACTAGGGGGGCATAGAAATTTTCACAGAGGAATAAACATCGACTTAATTATATAGCAAGACGTCGTTCTCGTGTGTTAAAGGATTAAAATGACATTAGGTAAGAGGTAACTTGCTGTATCGGCTATATTTCCACATGTTAGGATTGGGATATGCCCGAACTTATTTGGGATATTATATTAACCCGATCTTTTTGTTGCCGGTGCAGAAAGCATTGCTTATTTAACCGACCTGGCTGCCACTTTCATAGCCTTGTGTATCTTTTCCACGTGGTAGCCGACTCTAGCGCTAACCGTCTCCTTTTTCCCCTGTGGCGCGTTCCGTGCCGGCTTCCGCCGCCTCCGTACCACGCCTCGTTGCTGTATAGTGCTGTCGGCACCACACACGTAATTACCGCCTTCCGCAGCATGTCGGCCGGTGGCCCGTTTTTTTTTTTTTTTTTGTGTGTGTGTGTGTGTGTGTGTGTCAGCAAGGCCTCGCATATGTCTGGCGAGCGCCATGGTCAGCGGTTCTAGGCGCTGCAGAGCGTGCAATTGCTTTCGTCGCTTCTTTTGTTAAGGATTGCCTGGGCAAGAACAAGATGAAGGCGGTGCATATTCAGCGTATCACGATTGACAGGCTCTCGTCTGTAGGAAGCTTGGCCTCTCTGATTAGTGTTCCCTGTATCCGGTATTACATAGATGCTGCTGTCACCATTGCTAACAGTCTCCAGGCATTGTTCTTTGGAAATTTTCCTAGTGCGCCATTGTTGACGAACAGGGTTCCGCTTCGGCTTTCTTGCGCTTTTCTAACCAAGTTTCTTAAGCTCTCTTTGGCAGCAGTGAAGGATGCGGGTGAGATATCAGTATAATCGTACTGTTCCCACTTCTGTACCCCGTCCTTGGCCACGGTCTCCAATATCTTGCCGTTTGCCCTCCCGTCCCTGCGCCGATCTCGATGATCCTCATCGAGGGATTTTTAAAGGAGAGAAGGTCGATGATTTGTGCGGCTGGATACGCGTGGTGATCATTATCGAGCATTGCTTCGTAGTATCGATCTACCAGTCCATCTCGGAAGATCAAGCTCAGCGGGTCTGTCTCGCCACGCAGAATGGCAGGCAGATATTTTCCGATCTCCATGAAGAAGAAACCATCCCCAGGGGCCTTTTCTACCTCATCCTGAAGTTTATGAACCAGTTGTTCAACTGCGGAACGGTGTATTGCACAACGTGATACCCAGACACTCCATATTGAGGTGATGTAGCGACGGCAGTATTGATGAAGACTCCGACAGCAAAGACAAGAAGCGCCTACAATTGTCCAGTCATCCCACCAGAGAGCCATCGTCCGCTTCCCGTGTATCAGACGAAGGGCTACAGCAACAATGGCCACGAAGGTCAAGATGCCTAGCGCGATGGAAATGCTGACGAACGTCTCTGTGAGCTCGTCAGGGTGGGGAATCTCCATTGCGACGAGCAGGGCAGCAGTGCCTAGTTGATGTTTGATAGTCTTACGGCTTTTTGTGTGGACGAAGCCCACCCAAGGAATCGAAGAGAACTAATGAATCAATATCGGGCTCGATGTTGGTGCTGTAGTCTAAGATTAAGCATGATTGGGAGGCGCCGCTCCGATGCCTAGTGGGTTGGTGAGAAAGGGGGGGTTCTACAGACAGCTGAGAATGTGCTTTCTGTAAGGGCGCTATCTGGAACGGTGTTAGCTGTATGATTGACGCAGTGCAACCATGGGGCTAGTCTGCCCATGGCAGGTATACATAGTAAAGCAATTCTCTTGGACCGGGTCAAGATCCCAATTCTTCATCCAAGAAAGTGACTGCAAGTGGACAACTTACCTCGATTGTCAGGGAACATACGTGAAAATGAGTAAGCGGTCCGATTATATCTTTATTCGCGATTATCTCGATAACAACCGGTATGTGAAGATTTCATGTAGGCTGTGGAGGATCTGACTCTGTCAGCACACTTGCTGTACAATCCTTATGGTGTAGGGTCACATCGTTACTGATGTTGGAGCATTTGGCCCCCGAAATTAGAATTTATCTAGGCCATTATTAGTTCAAGGAACTCTTTAGATATCTGCTATATCCTAGTATACGGACTGAAGATGCGAATATGCGTGTAACCGACGTCGCAACGGGGATAGGGTATGGCTCCAATTCTTACTGGTCCAAGTCTTAGAGTAACATTAAGGGTGTAACACAACTGACGCCGCACGCACGAGCAGGATATGGCTGATGGATTTGAGCCGGTGCCTACCCGCCACGGCGCGGCTGGAGGGCTTTGACTTATCGCTCAAGGCGACACTCCCGATGGCTTAGCTGCCCGCGAACGTCGCCCTTAGGGAGTGGAACGTCTGCGAACCTCCGCCCAAAGATCTCATTGAGGCGTACGACCTTGTGCATGTCAGATACCTCTGTCTCGTGCTGACGGGTAACCATCGAGTTCATAGCGCTACGTACTTGATGGAAGTTGAGGCTATCTAGGTAGGTTGAATGCACACGTGATATGAGAATTCCGCCAATGTATTGATTACAGTCTGTGAAAAGCTACTCATACGCCATCTCTTCTGTCGTAACCGCCGAGTGCTCAAGCTTGAATCATTTCGTTGACAGTGTCGGCAACAACCTGAGTAGTGCTGAAGTGTGGGCAATGGCCCGACTCGACGGAGGCAGTCTTCACTTCACGGCCAGCCTTCTCCAGAGTCTTGACCATTGACTCTTGTTCAGGAATTGGGATGCTAACGTCCAGCTGCGTATAGATGTAACAACTCTCTATCTCTCGCCAGGCTTCATTCTCGAGGGGCTGGAGCATGCCCTTGCCATTCCAATGACAAAGAGTCTCACGGTACGCGGCCACTTCGTCTTCGGAGATTCTTTGACCTGGACTCTCGAGGCCAAACAACACATTCGGGTTTTTGACCAACATTGTGCCATCCTCGGCCACGTCGAACACCAGGGGCGCGTTGGCAGCATCTCCAAACTCTAAGAACTTGTCGAAAGTTGATTTTCCTTTGGCGAGAGCATAGCCCACCATGTAAATCAGTTTCGAAACACCGCCGGCGAGACCCTTCCGTGAGCGAGTCTCGGTGCCGAGACCGCAAAGCGCATTGGAGACTACCTGGCCGCCGTAAGAATGGCCAATTGCAACCACAGTGCGTCCGGCGCGAACCAAGCTCTCTACGTAACTTCGGACAAGCTGGGTGTCGCTGGCGAGGTCTGCATTCGGTGGGCGTGCTTCGTTGCAGGTTGGAAGCCGGGGGACATGAACCTCATAACCGTATGATTCAAGTGCGTCAGTGAGCTGCTGATAGCTCCGTGGTGTGTGGAAGGCGCCGGCCACCAGAACGATGGTAGGCTTGACGTTGGGAGCCATGGTAGGTAGTGACGGAGCTAGGAGAACTAGAGAGAACTAAGATGGCATAGGGGAGAAGACGAGAGCTTCTTTGTATATGCCATGTGTGGACTCTTCGGTTGATTATACGAAGGTAGGGAGAAAGGAAATAAGGGGCGCTCTGGCGAGCCTCTCCCTGCTTAGCGGTTGGGACGTAGTAGCATTGTAGCCTGAGGTAGTACCGTTGTTGGCAATATAACGCTGCAAGTAGGACGTCAGACCATGCCACTTCACACCTAGGTACTTGTATGTACTATGTAGGTACACACACAGACTTGCATATAACACTCTGCAGTAGAATGTGGTGTAACCGTAAACATATACATAGTAGATTACTCTTGGTTGCGCCTCTATACCTAGAACACAACTAACCGAAGTAGCACAGTTATAAAGACAGCACGAACTAAATAATTATTTATAGTAGTATACGGGAAAATCTGCCGCTAGGCAGACTAGAGCACTAGTTTGCTTCCTCGCCTGACTCATCCTTAAAAAAGGAGGCAAGACTTAGGAGTGTCGAATAAATGACGGATCGAAATGGCGTTGTAAGCTACAGGGGAGTATTGTGAGCCGCGAAGGATAGCTATAATTATGTGGCCGGTCCTGGCCAGTAAAATATAACACTTTTGAGCAGTCATGCGTTCTTGTTCTTATCAGATTCATTCAGCGGTATGCTCAACGTAGTGTGCGATCTTTGGCTCTAGCCGCTTTTCTCCAATGGCGACTACATATATTCTACTTCCCTTTGTTCTGGGCGTGGTTGTGCACCCAGACGTATTCATCCGCGGAGAATGGCATATCCAGTCACCGAATATACTCAGGTTCCACGCGTTGATGTTTGCGGTTTTCATGGCGGTATTGGCCAATCTTGGCTCTATGGGCTACCTCATACTATGCCCCTGACACTCACTGTGTATATGATATCGCTCCGCTGGTGCTATAAACCGCAAGCAGTGGTAAATACTGAGACTCGGGGAGCATGCATCTATTACTTGTCACTACGGCTATTTAATCTAGCAGTGTGCGTGTCAGGTATTCGATGTCTAGTAGGTACATAAGTAGAACAAAGGGGATATTTATATATATTAGGTATTTATATAATATAGCTATGGTTCCAAAACGACCTTAATTATAGTTCCTTGCCTCTTTTTTGGTTTATCTCGTGGCAGTGCGCAAAACGTCTGCATGTTTCTGTAACAGCTGGAGAAGGCATATAGGCTCTACTAGCGACAGAATATATCACGTACGACCACAGGATGCAGAAAACTCGGGATCCCGTCCGCTCTCCCATAGATAAGCTGCATACCGCCGGATTAGTAGTTGGGTCGGTGACGACCAGCGAATCCCCGGTGTTGTACGTTTCCGTATATTTTTATACGGTTTGCTTTCTCCACTGCTCGCTCCCCTTCACTGCTCCGCTTCGCAAGAGTAATATCCAGTGCCGCTATGACACAGGACCCATGTGAGAAAGCGGGTGACGTGAAGTCCTTGTTAAGGCGGTGACTTGGGTTATTGTTACGTGGTAGTAGTAGTGCTTATACCCGACCGGCGTCCCCCTTAGTCAGGGCCCACAGGTGAACAAGTTTTTTACTTCGTACACGGTACAACGCTTTCATTCGCGTACAAAATACTTAGAAGATTGTATAAAAAATGTGGCTCTAGTTAAAGGGCAAGATACCTATCTAATAGAAATACAATTTGTAATATTCATCTCGGAACAGTAAAAGAGGAATGTAGGTGGATTTATATTGAACGCTATGGAAATAGGAAATAGGTAAAAGTTGGGTAGATAATGTCTACTTGTTATCCGTGTGTACCTAACAGTTAACGTATTCTACTAATATAAGAGTATGTTTCTGTGAGATTTGAGACCGAAGTTTATACCAATGCCGCTTTAGGGGTAAACTTAGTTACCCTTACCCTTTTAATACTGCGAAAGCGGATGTAGTTCTAGTTATAACCAGCAAGTCTTTTCGGGAGATATTAATGTCCTCACGATGATATCCCTTTTCCGTGGCAGTGCGTACAAATCGCTAGTAATCCTAAAGTGGAAACGGGTGTGACGAACCTACACTCAGGTCCGTTAGAGTGTAATAACAGGGGGCTTGATTTTAGGTAAACAGTAACAATACGGGTCAAGTGTTAATAAAACGTTAAGAGTGTTCGTTAGGAAGGCTTGGAGTCTTTCCCCTTATATAAGTTAGATATAAGATTTAGATTAATAATTAAAAAAACGTAAATGAATGTTTAAATATATGTTACTTTTTTATAGTTAAATTATTTCCTTTATTTTACTTCTTTTAAAGGTATTATAATGTAGTTGATTTAAGTGATTTAGTTAATTTAATTAAATTAATTAAATTATACGAGATTATGTTTATAATTAAAGTTTATTTATTACGTTAGGAAATCCCTGTTTTTGTTACTTAAATTAATATGTTTTTTAATAAATATTAATTCGTAACATTATTTTTCTTCTTTTATATTTTTTACTCTTAAAGATTTTAATTTAATAAGTTTTTTTATTTTATTCTTTATTTTATTAAATTAACTTAATTTAATAATATTAAAATATGTTTCTAAGTTATTTATTAAAGCTTGTTACTTAAATTAACATTAAGTTCTTAAATCTTATATTATTTATATTAAAACTTTTAATCTTTTTAGAATACTTTATTTAAATTGTAATTATTTTAAGGAAATATTATGTTTTTTCGTAATTAATCTTTTATTTTATAACTATTATATTTATTAAACAAATTATATTAGTTATAATATAATAAAGGTAAATTCTATTAATCGTTTTACTTTTAAACTCTTTTATTTAAAAGAAAAGCGTAATAAAGTTAAAAATAAGTTAATTAAATTAAATAAGGAGTTTTAAAAGTATTAAAAAAAGATTAACGAACATTTAAACCTTTTACGTTATTTAAAACATTAGGAAAATATTATTAAAGATAAGGTTTTTTATATATTTTAATATAAAGAAGAATTGGATTATTTAAAGCGTAAGAAAAAGGTTATAAATCTAAGTGCTTTTAGTTAAATTAAGTAAGTTAATTTATTTAAGCCCTTTAATTCTTCCGAGGGCAACCCTAGTAAAGCTATTACTTTTTAAAATAATTTTAACTTAAGGATAAATCTGTTATTATTTATAAGCAATTAAAATTTTTTTAATAAAATGTTTTTATAAATTTTTAAATATTTTTAAAGTACCTAATTAATTTTTATATATTTTCTTTTAATAAATAATCCTTTTATTTAATTAAATATTTAATTTAATTTTTAAATTGTTTAAAGTTTAATACTTTTTCGATTTTATATTTTTAATTAGCTTTAATATTTAAAGTAATTTATATTAATATATTTTCAAGTGCTTTTTTTAATAAAGAAATATAAAATATTAAATATAATTTTATTTTTGTTAATAATAATAATTTATAATTAATTTTTAAAATAACTTTTTCAATTTTAAAAAGTTTAAGTTTTTTATAATTTAATTTATTATTTAGTTTTTTAGTTTTAATATTTTATTATAATAAGTAAATTTTATGTTAATTATTATATTTTTTCATTTTTATTTATAAGAATTTAAGCTTACTTGTTAAATATCTTTATGTAACAATAATTTATTCCGCCGTAACTTTTACCTTAAAAATAAGTGTTTTTTTTATATTAATTAATTTTGTAATGATGAAATTATAATTAATATTTGTTTTAAATAAGGATATTTTTATGTTTTTATTTATAAAGTTATTATATATAATTTTTACTTATAATAATAATTCTATTTAATTATCTTACATTTTGTTAACGTATGTACGAAAATATTATTTTAACATCTAATTTAAGTGCTCCGTTTATCCATTTAATTGTGAATAATATGCTATTAACAGTTTTTGTTTTATATTTATTTTTACTATTAAGCTAATTTAAAATTTAAATATAAATAACTTATTTTTATTTAAAATAATATGTTTTAATAATTTATATTTATTAATTACGTATTTAAAAAATATATAAATTAGATTTTTAATTATATTAAATTCTTTATATAATATAAAGTATTTATATTTAATTAATTTATTAATTATTATCCATATATTATTATATAGTGTATTAATTATAAGTTCTTTTAATAATAGTAACTTAATAATAAAATTTTATGTAATAGTTTTTTAAGCTTTATTTAAAATTTCTATAAGTTATGTAAATCCATATAGCTTATATTTAATTACTTTAATTTTATTATATATGTTATAATTATTAATAACTTTTTTAATTACTTTAAATAAATTAAAAAAGTTATAGTTTTTTATAATTTATTATATAATTTAAAAGATTTTTTTAATATTTGTGTAACAAATGTTTATAATATTTTTTAATAAACTTATATTATAAAGCCTTTAATATATATACTTTATTTAAATATGTAATTATATTTTCTTTTATTTTAATATCCGCAAGTAATTTTTTAGTAAAGAATATTTCTTTAATATATATTATTTATATATTATCTTTTTTTATAAAATATAATATTAATAAAACAAGTGCTTTTTATTTATTTAATACGAGTATTACTTTTTCTTTTATTATATTTTTCGTGTTAACGCTATTAAATTTATTAAATGCATCGGCTTACGTATTAGCTTTTCTTATAACGTAAATTATTTTAAAGTTAAAGTTATTAAAGTATTTTATTTATTTTTAAACTTTAAATCTCAGTTTTTAAATAGTTATTAACGTTTTAAAGTTATTATAATTAAATAATATTGTAATTAGTTCTTTAGTTCTGCTAAGCTAGTGTTTTTATTCTTTAAATACTATTACAATAATAAGTAATTCCTTATTATAAGTTTAATATCTTATTTAAGCTCTTTTAAAAGTCTTAAATAAGTATACCATTAAGTGCTATATTTTATTATCTTTAAGTTATTTTAAGATTGTGCTTATAATTACGTTAAATCCATTTATATAAATTTATTTTAATTAATTTAGCTTAAGTAATCTTATTATTAAATTATTAATAATAATTCTTTATATTTTTTTTAAAAGTTTTATTTACTTTTAACGTTTATTAAAAAGTTCTTTCTTTTCTTTATATAATAACTATAATAAAATTTATAATTTTATTAAAATCTTTTATTAATTATTTATTATAATTAATAAAGTTA